CAGTATTTGTCGTGTAATGAATAACCAATAAATGTATTTTGTAACATGGTTTGCATAGAAACGCACACTTAAATAAAAAGAAATAATTCCATAGCTTGCATTGTAATGCTTAACAGATGAGCATACATTGTTGGCATGGTAACACAAACTTTAAAAATCAAATAAAGTTCAACCCCCCTATTGAAGAAACTATGTGACTGAAATGTTTCAGATAGTTTGTTCATAGTTTCCATCACTCCTCTTTGATACAAAAATGCTGTTACAATCACATGAATATTGCCAGCATATCAGAATAAAGTCACATCTGCCATGATCTACCCAGATGTCAATAAACACCAGTATTGATCTGACCTTAATAGCACAAACATGATTAGCAGTTACAAAAAAAGTTTTGTTAAATGCAAAATGAAATGGTAACATAAAGGCTATTTTCTATGTTGTTTAGTTAGGTAAACAAAACAAATCAGAATCATTAAAAAAAATAGATTTGAAAAATTTACTAAAAGGAACCAGCAGATTTGGGCTTTGGAACTTTCAGGAAGTGCCAAATGAGCCAGGATTGAAGAAATATGTTATAAAAGAAAAATATCATAACAGTGACAAAATGTCTTGTCTACAAAATCCACAAGTTTGTACTATTGTGAGGTGCTGTTTTCCCAGACACTAGTCCTGGTTTCTGCTACATTGGTTTGAATACCTACACAAGAATTACCTTGATTATCACGATATTCAAGCTGGGGACACTTGAACTCACTTCTTTCACACTTCACATGGGACCCTGAGCCCAGGACTTAATTGATCTAAATGCTACACCTAATGCAAGTTAATATAAAAATACAGCATAACAATACTACTATGGCGATGTGGGCCACTACATGAGTCATTACACTGCCCTCCACATCAACCTCTCCTCATGACTTGTTTCCTTTTGTCTAGTATAACTGTAGTTAATTTGGGTTCTGGAAACTAAGGGAGGCAACTCTGATTCTGTCACCCAAGTCTGTTGGGCAGCCCATGTGAGCCTTTTATTATGCACGGTTGGATGTATGATATTCTATCAACAACCATTGTCCTTTCACACCCTGCATTCCACTGCCATTAAAGTATAAACACTTATGTTTGGCTGTGCTGATGATTATTAAATCTAAAACAACAGTGTCATATCGATGTGGTTAAGTACAAATCTGTTTAAGAGATATTTAAACAAATTCTCATAAAATTGTACAAGAAAAATGATAACACTGAGGAAGATGAAATAAAACAAGTAATAACAAAAACTTTTCTGAAAGTGGGTGGGGTTAAATGTGAATGTGTGGGTTTAATGATGCATGAGGTTTAGACAGACACTGTACACCCTGAGCAGTCACATGTACACTGTACACCCAGAGCTGACACACATACACTGTACAGCATGATAACAACCATATATACAAAACTGGGAAATATTTACAAGCAGGGCTTGATGTAAGAGATGTTAACCTACTTGCACCAGGTGCAACCTAAAATAAAAACCTAGTTGCACCAGCCAAATTCCAAATGCACTGCTTTTATTGCAATATGTAATGAAAGAAATATGCTATTGAATTATTTAAAGTTTAGAAGAAAAATTAGCTGACATAATTATGATTGTTATGTTAGATTTGTTGTTGAATAATTTCTCAAAAATGGACTTGCACCTGGTGCAAGTTAGACAAAAAACTAGGTTGCACTTTGTAATATTGGGTTGCACCAGTGCAAGTAACAAAGCACTAAATCGAGCCCTGACAAAGAATGATGTAACTTCAACACAGCTGCAATAGTGATGGAGCTCTAGTTTCTCATTAACGGCCAGACACACATACAGAGACACTCACTCACACAACTTTCCTCTTCAACCTCCAAAGAATCACACCCAAAAATCATTCACAATCCTTCATCCTGTCAGTTTATCTTAATAATAGGACAAAACCCTTTCCATCATCATATGAAACCTCTGCTAAAAGAAGGGACCACTGTGCCATTCCGACCACATCTTAATCATATAAACAGATCTATGCAATAACCTGGGTGTATCCTGCCCACCAGTAATACCAACCCCAAATACATGCAAAGGCAGGTCAATTGTTCACCTGAAAATACAAATCTAAATATGGTACACGGCAAAACAAGGAATTGGAAAATAGGAAGTACCATATTTACAATGTGTATAACAAATCTGTTCCTTAAAATATAATCTTGCTGTTCAAATGTTGCACAGATTTTTTGGTCTTAAACTGAGATAAAACAACAATTTTAAAAATCCTAAGTAACAAACAAAAGAAGAGGTACAAATGTTTCAGTTTTCTCCTTGAAGAATTTGGGACAGATAACATTGTAACACTGCGAAAAATACAATATTCTGGGCAATTAGCAATCTAAAGTTTTAAAACACACTATAAATGCTAAAAAATCACTGAATTACACAAACAACTCTCTGGTGATGATAGTTGAGGATTACTTACAGCAGAAGCTACAGAAGTTGAAAACGTTTTGAATATTTGACACGATCTAATTTTTTTTGAATATTTGACAAAAACTTGAAAACTTTTGGAATATTTGACGATTGGAAATGTTTTGGAAAATATGAAAAAATTTGAAAACCATCCAAGATGACATAATACATTGCTCAGGGACAGAAACTTGTGCTAAATCCTTTGTAAGAACAAAATAACAGTGAACTATCTGCACCAAAGCGAGCAACTAGATAACAATGTAACATGGTTGTGGTGATCATCAGTTAGGCAACGTAATTATTTGTCTATTTGTTGGATCGTACATTTTTAGGAACCCAGAGAGACAGTTTGTAACTGTGTAAGTCATATCCAACTTGCTTAAATCAATGCTCATGATGTTGATCACTGGATTGTCTGGTCCTAAATAGTTTTTTAACAGGCCATCAACTGCTTTTGAGAATAACAAGCTGATAATCAAACAAATCATTTCAAGGGTTCCAAACAGTTTGGTAAATTCATGTTTCATTGGGAATCTGAAACAAAAGATTCCTTTCTCAAGCTAGCTGCCTTCACTCTAAGCCCTGGTTTGTCAACATTATCAACAACAAACAAAAACTGTGTAAACAAAGATATTACTGAAGGGGAAACAAATATGGATGTCAACTTTTGTATTATGAGGAAACAACATTTCAGAGTTTATCCTTACTTTTTCACCAATTATGGATTAGCTCTGGTTTTCGTTTGTCCATTGCCATTATCAAGTAAGTATGATTTCACAAACCCCACATAGCGCTATGATTATCGTAAGGATTATTGGCTTATTTCATACACTGCTAAAAATATAACTATCTTGCACAAACTGTTGTACAGTTGTGCAATACTACACAAATATGAAGAATATGGTGAAGAAACTGGGAAACAGCATTTACCATATACATTGGTTGCCCCAAAAAGCCCACAACTGCTAAAACACAGACACTTTAAAAACACTCCTGTAAATGAGGTTTTCTTCAAACCCTGATAACATGGTCAATACTTAGGTGATAAATGAGACCTGGATTTCTTTCATCAAATCCTCTTTTCACACACGTCAACTTCATTTCAAGTACTGACAATGTAAAATGACAACTTGCACATTGATCCTATGGAAACTCTCTCAGAGGCTACAAGGAAGTATGGCTGAGCCATACACAGCTGTTATCAACTCATTAAACACTAAAAGACAGCCAAGAATGTTCAAAACTTCTACAGAAGTAACTCAAATGTTTGATGTCAGAAGAATTCACCAGAAAGGAAACTCATCAGCTGGAACGTCCTAAAGATTATGCTGCTCAATGATAACCAGAGGCCAGTCTGGTGAGAAGGGAATCACTGCAGCTCCGATACTTTCATTATGCTGCCAGCATGATAAGAAGGAGTCAACACATCAGCGTGAGGAGCTTACGCAGCAGGGACATCACAATTGTTGAACCAAGTCAGTGAATACATGTGTCTTCAGGGATGAATAAAAAACTTTGAAGTCACAAATGCAAACGCATTGAGTATGATGTACAGGAAATATGTGGCCATATATTTAAAAAAAATATCTCTTTTAAAATCGGATTATATATACGCATAAGTGACATGTCTAAAAAAGTCACTTGATATTTGTGCATAGGAGTGGATTCCTTAACTACAGACATACCAAATATACTCCTCAAAAGATGTTAACGATCACATGATTCTTTCATTTTACTTTACATAATCTGTCATAACTCCTGAGTAGTAGACATCAAATACAGAATCAGGTATGTTTAAAACATCATTGATTTTGTAACATAAATGGGCAATACATCAAATATCACTTAAAACATCCAAAGAACTGAAAATAAACTCCAGGTCTGGTGGAAAGAATGATAATCGAAATTAATGTCGATGGGAAGATATATGAATCATTATCGATATGAAAGTTGTCATCATTTTGACTTACTGAACAGGTGTGTTATTGTTAATTGCATAAGACAATAATTGTTGTTGTTACACACTTAATGTCCACAAGGTAATCCATACATCACCTGAGATGTGAAATATGCTGTTTTCGTTCAGACTTACAATTTCAGAATTATGGTCTTTGGGAAGAAACATTTATGATTATCGATACGAAAGTTGTATCACCAATTCACTAACTGAAACAGACTTGTTATTGTCGATTGCAGAAGGCAGCAACTGGGTCTGGTGATTGGAAGAAACTTTAACCATTATAGATATGAAAGTTTCATTTTCACTTAATGAACAGGCATATTATTGTCTATTGCAGAAGACAGAAACTGTTTTTGTTAAACACTTAATTTCCACAAAGTAATCCATCAATCATCAGAGATGTGAAAAATGCTGGGTTTTTTCGAGCGTTTTGCATATTTGCTCATTTTACTTCTCCAATATTTAGTGATAACTGATGGACATTCAAGTAACGATTATCAATCTCTCTGATCTATATCAAAGCCAGCCCTACTGAGCACACACGACTTGACATCCAGAAACGATCATGTCCTTCATTGCCTGCCTAACATGAGAGGACATCACAAGTAGACGTAGCTCTTCTTTCCCTGTTCCATCTGGTCCTCCTCCGTCAGGAAGTAGGACATGGATGGGACACGGCGGATGTCCTTCATTGACTGCCTAACATGAGAGGACATCACAAGTAAACGTAGCTCTTCTTTCCCTGTTCCATCTGGTCCTCCTCTGTCAGGAAGTAGGACATGGATGGGACACGACGGATGTCCTTCCCCTTGGGACACAGTCTCAGTCTCTGCATGTAAAGCACGATGGAGGCGAGGACGATGAAGAAACACACAAGGATGAGGTACTCGTTGTAGAACAGTCTGGACATACGGAACGAGGATGGCTTGTGCCCAGTTTGGTACTCCAACTGATGCTTTTCTATGTCCCTGAAATACAGAGAAATGTCTTGTAATGAGGTCCTAAACTGTCTTTTGTTGGAGTGGTTAACACGTTGACTGCCACCACGAGTATACTTGTAGTATCAATGTCGGGCCGAATTTGCCACTACGAGTTATCTCGTAGCTATATCGGTGGTATTTTAAGACAAGTTTCACATGTTGGCAAAACAGCACAAGAAGCAATCGTCTCCTGGCAGTAACAAAGAATGCCAATGTTAAGATTCTCTTTTAGCTGCCTCCAAGAGGAAGCAATAGGCGTGGGGGGACAAAATGGGTTATATATAAGATATTTACAATTATGTGCCAAAATTAGCGCATGCATTTGTGCGTTTTTTATCAGCTTGACCTTGACTAGATGCATACCTTATTAACTGAGATACCACACTTCTGTTTAATAGGGATAACTTCAGTCAGAGTATCCTGACCCCGAATGGAATGTCCTACCTGAGAGGGATGTACCGTGTCCTGTAGATGAGAGCTCCTAATGTCCATTGAACATCTTTGTTATTGATCAGTTGAGCAGATTTCAGATTCCTGTACTCATCAGGAAACTTGAAACCATTGTGGAAGACCGTGGATAGCCACGCTGACTTGAAACACTGGTATCTGTGGAGAATAAGTGAATGATTTGTTTAATGCCTCTCAGGTCTCAGACATATTGGACAGTGTTATATCACAGTGTGTCAGCCTCATGTAAAACAAAAAAGAGCAGGTCTCAGATGGTTATTAATATTATTATGGCTGGGATGGGTAGACATTTTGGACAGTGTTATATCACAGTGTGTCAGCCTCATGTAAAACAAAATGGAGCAGGTCATTATTATTATTATTATTATGGCTAGACAGGTAGACATTTTGGACTTGGGTACCCGAGGTAGCATTACCTGACCCAGGTACCTCTTACAGCCTTATTTAGAGTTATTTCTCATACAGTCATGGTAACTGAAATTTAAAAAAAGTTGAGTTTGGTCATAATTTGATCGAGACTCCATAACACAGAAAACCAAATGCAACTTGTTCAGTGTGGAAATAAGTTTTAAAGGTGGTAGTACATCATCATCATCATCATCATCATCATCATCATCATCATCATCATCATCATCATCATCATCATCATCATCATCATCATCATCATCATCATCATCATCATCATCATCTGTTTGACCACACTTTTAGCAATATTCAAACAATATCATGACAGTACACCAGAAAAGGGCTTCAAATAAGATATACATTGGAATCGAAACAAGCAAATTATGACAAGCGAATGCTGTAACCAGTATACCACCTTCAGAACTCCTCGACAAGTAAAATAAAACACAATACATTTACCATGCTTACAGACCAGAATTTTCAAAGAGATAAAAACATAACACTATAAAGTTAGTCAATTACTTGGAAAAAGAATAACGTAATGAGTGACTTGTTGCTATTCATAACTGTTACTATGGTGATTATTAAATGAAAAAGCAATAAAATTGTCATGATAAAAAGTGATAGTAATTCAAACACCTACTTGAATCTAGCGTCATCAGCCTTTGGGTACAAATGCTGTTCGTACCATTTAGATAATTGAGACCAACTTGAGCCACAAAACTCCTGAAAAAGACGAAATTATTTTTAAATGAACACTAATTATAATTCACATTATTATATCGGTAAATAGAAGCAGATCTGATAAGCCAGTTGAAGATATATACACTGTATGATTGAATGTCGTTTCCATCGCAGTCAGCAATATCACAGCTACCAGGCAGTCTTCATGAGAGTCAGTGAGTTGGGTTAAACGTTGTTTTGGACCCGTGAAGATACAGGTTAGAATTGGTCTTCAGTAACACATGTCATAAGAGGCAACTAATGGAATAGGAGGTCACACTTGCTGACTAACGGAATTGTGACATTGATACCCAATTGCGTAGATCGATGCTCATGATGTTGATCACTGGATTGTCTGGTCCACACATGATTTATTTATCTATTTATTTCACTGCCATTTAGCTGGAATATTGCTGAGTGCGGCGTATGTAAGTCATATCACAGCATGTCAGCTTGATGTTGGAGGAATGCCTCAAGTGACGTAGGTTTTGGATTATTATCACTTTGCGCCAACCAACAAGATGACAAACCTACACACATAATCAGCACCGACAGGATATAGAATAAGTGAGTGAGTATGGTTTTACGCTGCTTTCAGCAATATTCCAGCAACATCACGGCGGGGGACACCAGAAATGGGTTTCACACATTGTACTCATGTGGGGAATCAAACCCATGTCTTCAGCGTGACAAGCGATACTTGAACCATTCGGCTACCCCACCAACCCTTACAGGAATTATACAAACAAAAAAGTTAAGGACACCCCAATATTCAATATCTAAGTATTATATGGATCCTAATATGAACTATTAAATAGCTTAATATTGAAAATTGGGGTGGTCCTCAACTTAATTGTTGAGTTTAGAACCCATGATCAAACGATTCTATCATATCCAGATCGGCAAAGCAAACTGCAACGACTAAGATGACAAGGCCAACGTTCCACCATCTTCATGCAAAGATGTAGATCTAAACTTCCAAAAATTTAAAATAATACAAACATTTTCACATTCAAAACAAAATACAGGTACATTAGTGAATCCTGCTTTAAGATGAAACACAAAATTGTGGCAGCAGGACAAAAACTTCTTCCCATAAAGATTTAAAAACAAAAGCAAACCAATTCAGTCAGTATGTTTTAAATCACTGGTTGTTTTCATCCTAAACACATTTAGGTCACTTACTGAAGAATATTTATTGAAAACTGTACTGCTGTAATTGCCGCCTTTACGATAAACATCTTCCATGGTGTACCAGAACTCGGAGAAGCCATAGAAGCTGGAACGTGCGTGGTCAATCAAGGGCTGACTGACGCCGTTCATAGAGCAGGGTTCCTGTGGACAGGGGACAGTGAGGTTGAGGAGGGGCTTGAGGGCTGTCCGACACTCATCGTAGCTGCCAGTGCCCTTGAAGTAGTGCTTCACACTCTTGTCATCTTCACTCTCCAGCGGCATTGACTGAGGGAGGCATGGATCTAGAACTGGGTAGCTCGCGTTCTGGCCAGGTCTACTGGAACATACAACATGACATCAATACTGACATATTTCACAACATTATGACTGACAGAGTGAAAGGTGTTTAATGCAACATTGTAGTGAGTGAGTGAACTTTTACGCCCCTTTTAGCAATATTCCAACAATATCATGGCAGGGGACACCAGAAATCGGCTTCACACATTGTACCCATTTGGGAAATTGAACCCAGGTTTTCAGCGTAACGAGCAAACATTTTAACCACTAGGCTACCCCACCGCCCCTGCATTGTAACGGACTGACTGATTGAAATTCATTCAGTGGGATTGGAAATTTGACGTCATCCACAATATCATTACATCATAACTGATTGATGTCGTGTTGGAATATCAAAAGCAGAATCTTATCAGCAACTTTCACTTTAAAATTCCAACAGAAAGTTCTTCAGTTTGAGAGTCTCCTGGAGTAACTACTCAGAAAGTTTATGTGGAACTGAATCAATGCAATCTGAACACATGCTAATCTCCTAAGCGAAACTCCTGTTGCATCACCATTGCATGGAAGTATTCAAATCTGGTCAGGCAACCAGTCACTGACTGTAGGCTCTACATTCATCAGATAAACCTGGACTGGGGAATACTATGCAAAGAACCCCAAGGAGGACAGGGTGTATGAAAGCTTCATTTGTATTTGTATGAGTAGATAAGATTTGATGTGACTGAGACGACATCACAACCTGTTAATTGTGTCACAACCAAATCAGTTTATAGATCTTAAATAGTCCCTCTAGGTAAACCCAAAATGAATGGGTATGGTTCTGACAGAGGATAAAACTTTGGTCCAATACGGCATATGAACCACACCTGATCCTGGTTGATCTAAGGCAGGCAACTCTTTACAGCGAATTGCTACACCTCAGAACACTGTTTTGACTGAAATTTGTAGGAATGTAGTCCCACTGACATACCTGTCTCCTAATTTGGCACCCTCTTTCAGTAGCTTCTCCTCATATCTCTCCCGAGCGGAGTTGGCTCCGTATCCGAGGAAGGTGGTCACATACACCCGGTATATGTGTTCTGTGTCCGAGTCTTGACAGCCTAGGTTCACTTCTGCAATCAGGTGCTTGGGCAGCTCTTCCCTCTGGGGACACAAAGTTAGTGTTGTATTATGTCAGAGTGAGTGAGTTTAGTTTTCTGCCACACTCAGCAATATTCCAGCTATATGGCGGCAGTCTGTAAATAGGTGTGTCTGGGCCAGATAATCCAGTGATCAACATCATGAGCAGTGATCTACACAATTGGGATACGATGACATGTGTCAATCAAGTCAGTGAGTCTGACCATCCGACCCCGTTTGTCGACTTTTACGGCAAGCATGGGTTACAAAGACCAATTCTAACTCGGTTCTTCATGGAGTAAGTATTACGCCGCCTGAATTCTTGGCCATGAGTAGGAGACCTTAGAATATCATCTTATCCATGTTGATGAGTAAAATGTGTAACTGAACATGATGAATAATCAATACTTCCTGTTATGATATAGAACCATGGGACATTTAATGCACATGTCTTGATAGTGTATACTACTTGAACACTGACTAACATCTAATTCTCACCTCATTGAGAACTTCAAAAGCTATCTGCACTGACCCTCCCCCCATGTCGATCATGCCGACTGTCCGTCTACGCAGATGGGTCTTCCCGCCTTGACCTGGCAGCTTCACACTGACCAGAGCATGGTCTGGAACATGACAGGTCATTGAAATTCAGTACTGACTGGAATGAAAGTGTCGGTTTTAACATTATTTTGAAAGGTGTATCACAGCAGCATTCAGAGTGAGTGAGTTTGGTGTTAGGACCCTTTTAGCAATATTCGAGCAACATCAAGTGGGGTAGCCTAGTGGTTAAAGCATTCGTCCTTCACACTGAAGACCTGGTTTCGATTCCCTCAATGGGTACAATGTGTGAAGCCAATTTCTTGTTTCTGCAATATTGCTGGAATATTGCTAAAAGCAGCGTAAAACCATACTCACTCACTCACCTGTGTCAGTCTACACATTTAGATAAATATGTATCATGAAATTAATAACTATTATTGAGATATAAAATATGAAAAAAACATTCCCATGTTGTATCTAATTCTCTGCAGGGCACCTAATGCAGGTAATGAGTTCCTACGGATATGATGGAGATATGGTCATTTCCTTGTGCATCAATGCATTTTCATACTCCTCACTGTGGCACTGAAGAAGCATTTCTGAACAATTATGCAATAAAGTGTACTGAAAGGCAGGGCTGCGCAATATAACCGGTATTTACCGGTTCAGACATGAAAACAATACATACTGCGATACGCTGATCGAAAACAGGTATTTTGACTTTCATTCGGAAAATTTCGTAACACTCAGGAAATCTTCGGATATTTCCTTGTTTCATTTGTGCCAAATAATATTTACATTTTTATGTTGTCATGATTAAAAGTTTTCATCAAAGCTTAATCAAGCATAGTGATTTTGTTGTGTTCATGCTTTATAAATCAAGCATTAACTCGATTATATGTAGTTTTTTGTTTAAAAATACTTCTTGCAATACATTGCAATATATGCTTTTGCGTCACTGCACCCTTTTGAAATGCCTCCTTCTGAACACTCTGCTCTACTTTCAGAATAGGCATCTTTTGTTTACAGTTTCATATAGTTTCTGCCATGTCTTAACACTCACCTTCTGGGCCATGGGAAAACTTGTTGAGGACATAGTTGACAGCGATCCAAGCATACACTCCTTCCAGCTTACCACTGATCACCTCAAAGTGGTTCTCAGCCACCTGGAAGTCAAACAGCTTGGGGATGTCTGTTAACAAGTCCGTCAAGATGGCCTTTTGAGCTCTACAACAAAAAGAAGAAGAATATATTGCAGTGGGCAAACAGAAACATGTGAGTGAGTGACTAGGCTACCCCACCACACCACACCTCAGGCTTAAACAAGTCAGCTGTGTTAAATCATTACCAAACATATTCCATAAAACAAGCCCAACCTACCCTGCCTACTGCCACCCATCTCTTGCATCTGTGTTACCTGAAGCTCAATTACTATTCTAGTAGTATAGGGAATGAGGGTACGGGATCACAAAGCAAAAATAATGATAAAAGGAAAAGGAAAAGACAAAAAGAGGAGGTGCACTCTGCATTTGAGCATATATAGACACTCTTTGTATACCTGTCTTGGGGTTGGATGGACTACTGGGATCGCGAATATAAAAACCCAATGCAAACAAAGAGTGTCTATATATATCAAATGCAGAGTGTACCTCCTCTTTTTGGTCTTTTCCTTCTTATTTTATCATTATTTTTGCTTTGCGATCCCTGTACCCCCATTCCCTATACTACTATTCTCGGTCTCACCTTTCCGGTATCATCCTCATGCCAGCAGTTGCCAGAATGTACAATGGCGTCTCCTTGTGGTGTTCCTTGGGGATGTACTGAGATGCATACTGGAGAAGTTTAGCTATGTGGTCACTGGCGTCATGTGGAGTATCCTCTGCACTCAGCAATATTCCAGCTATAAAGACCTGAAGAACAATCAACTGACTTGCCATCTACCGGATAGCTTTGTTTGGTTCTTTGTTATTTAATGCTGCACTCAGCAAGGTATTACAGATGGTGATAATGACTCAACTGATTCTGTTTCACTACTTACCAGGTGCGACTTTCTTCACAACTAAGTTTCCGACACCATCTCGTAGCTGTTGGATGTTGAGCAGCTCACCAGGTTTTCCAGAATGTGGGGGCCAGTAATAGACGTAGATGCGACTGCCGCTGCTTCCGCAGTCAATAACTATCCCATAATGCAATTTGGAAGCCGATTTGTTGGTATCATCTAATAGAGATTTATCACCCTTGGTTTCAGGTTGGCTAACTGGCCTTGTTCTAACAACCACGACGACAAAGAGAAGGATGAAGGCGATGACGACAATGCCACCGATCAAGAAGGATTTCCGAGATGTTGCTTGTTGGTTGGCAGCAAACATGGAAGGACAAGGCCAGTTTATATAGATTCTGAAACATTCAGATATCAGTTCTGAAACATTGAGATATCAGTTCTGAAACATTGAGATATCAGTTCTGAAACATTCAGATATCAGTTCTGAAACATTCAGATATCAGTCCTGAAACATTCAGATATCAGTTCTGAAACATTCAGATATCAGTTCTGAAACATTCAGATATCAGTTCTGAAACATTCAGATATCAGTCCTGAAACATTCAGATATCAGTTCTGAAACATTCAGATATCAGTTCTGAAACAATCAGTTCTGAAACATTCAGATATCAGTTCTGAAACATTCAGATATCAGTTGGTTAGTGGCAAACATCGATAGACAGGGTCAGTTGATATACATTCTGAAACATTCGATTATGGACCGACCAATAAAATGAAACATGAAGTCAACATTAGCCAATCAGTTAACAGCTTTCTTGATGATTACAGAATTTGTTATGGTAAGTTTAAGGTGACTTCCATCCCATGCTTTGAAAATTAGTTTGACAAAGTTTTCATAGCTTAATTTGGAAACTGAACTATAGGAACTTTTGGAATGTCTGACAGGTGGCTGTGATAGTCCGGCAGTTCTTCCCATAGGCAAGGTAAAGTCTCATTCCTATCTGATGTTTCCCCCACTGAAGTAGGAGATACACAATGTCTGTTTTCGGAACTAGTCATACAGGCCATAACGATCTTCCGAATTCAAGGTTGCATGCCTAGTAAACAAATTAAGATTTTTGTTTTCGAGATCATTTCATGATCAAGATGGTCGGGTGAAGGGTCTTTCTAACATGGCCTGTAACCTTATTTCCTCAGATGTTGAGGGATTGGGATGGAATAAGATCCCATTTTTATGAGGTTTAAATGAAATCAGCAACATAGCCACAGTCTTGCAGTCGTCTACACCATGCACATAGTTCATGTGTGTAGTGAGTCTTTAAGTGCAAGGAGTCATCGTCATAACTTTCATGTTGATAAGTTAAGGGGAAAGTTTAGACTGGTAGAACAAAAGACAAGTTTGTAAAACCTACATAATTAAGCACTAACAGTGATAGTTGAAAACTTTTCATAAAATTTGAAACAAAAATATACATGCAATACATCCAGTCATAATCACGCGCTCAGATCAACACAAAGTATTGTTATATGAACCTGTATAGCTATAAACCTTATAATGAAATGTATGAACTTTCAGTAACAGAAGTAATAGACACAGCTGGAGTGATTATTTTTAGTTTCGTAATTTTAGTTTTGTACCACTAGGCTGTGCTTAGAACTACTGTAACACATTTATTAATTTTTTAAAATAAAAATTATATATATAAGTTATGAGTCCACAATGATGAATGACCAACAAGAAGTCTCTCGCCTCTTCTTCTGGACATCACTGGAGATGTACATTTGCAATATACAACTGTATTAAGCAAGTTGATCTATCTCAACAGAGACAGGTTATGTGAGCAATGTCTTGCTACTCCTCCAGCACCCAACTGTTATAGGGACACATTTACTCAACCATGGTTATTTGTAAGACATTTTTTAGATGACTCCCAGCTCATCCTTAGCAAGCTGCTTCAATACTCTCTATAATGACATCTGCTGTAACAAACTGCAGACAATATTCAGTGATAGCCCTGCCACTAATATGCAGAAAACTATTCTATCATTTTACTTTTTTATCCTAATATGCAATTATATACTTCGAACATATTATCTTTATACTTGTTCCTTCCTGATTAGTCACTATCTGGCTGAAATATTGCCGAGCTGACGTTAAATTCTAACTCACTCACTCACCCTTCCTGATTATTTAAGCATACCCAAGTGAGTAAGTTTTGATTTTAAGCCACTTTTTGCAATATCCCAGCAATACCACAGCTGGGACACCAGATAACAGCTTCACACATTGTACCCATGTGGGGAATCGAACCCAGGTTTTCGGTGTGACAAGCAAATGCTTTAACCACTAGGCTACCCCACTGCCCCTTTAAGCATACCTACATATCTTATGTGTATGTAGGGATAATTATATGTTTACTTACTAGTGTCAGCAAGTTATATTGTTTGCATGATCTTACAATGATTATGTTCATTAAAACCATTTTCACCAAGAATTATTCAGTCTTTCAGAGCCTGTTTTGCATTTGTTCATAATCTTACTGTATCATGTTCTGATAACCTTTACTTTCTTGATGTATAGATGGTGGGATGAAAATAAACCTCTTCGACTTGGATTTGAGTTATAAGACACTGTGTGGAACAACCATATTGGTGGAAAAGCATCAAGGTAATTTGTCCCCACAATGTTTTCATACATTTACAAAGGTGTAAGCTGGATTGCAGTTGATGATCCTTTAACCTTTGACTCTAACCAGTTGGCAAGTGAACTTATTGTGTCAGGTGATTTGCCTGAGGTGATAAAGTGATGCCTTGACATGTTCAATACAGATGTAATTAGGTGTTCCAGACAATGCTATTTAAAGGGGATAGTTTTATCATATTTGTAGTTGGATTAACAGTATTAAAGTGTGTTTACACTGATATTTTAATACCCCACAGAGCAATTAGAGCTTACACACTATGTACTCAGCTGTGAACTTGTTTTGTTATATAAGTAGTAGGGGTAATGTCTTGTATGTATCGGGAGTATACCCTCACATGGAATTAGTGTCAGATTAAATATCATTTAAGTTGAAGTATATATTACAATATTATTATTATGTGCACATGCTCCGATATTGTTTTACAGCAATATATCATTAATCTATGTAAAATAATGATAATTTCATCTGAGATTTGAGATTTCCTACATTTACACCGTTTTATGTATCTTTGTTTCAACATAGATCAGTTAATGGGACCATGGTGCAACCTGTTTTTAACTTGGGCAAAAAGATTTTCAGGTTAACATATACCTTGTGCATGTTAAACCACATTCATTAAATCAAGCCATTAGCTTTGTGTTTGCAAAAAACACATCCTGGCTTGAGATGGAAAACAATTAAAATATTTTCTAGCATTAAATTATGTAGAAAGCATTGACAACCATGTGTATTTTTAACAGGTCAGGCATGACTGTCGACACAACTCTGGTTCCTTGGATCACTGGGACAGAATAGCAGATCTGTTTGTAATAACTGGAAACTCATCACTGCATCAGAGATCTGTAATACCCTTTGGCAAGATCTGATGATCTTCATCGCTGTAACTTATCAACGCCATCGGTATCACCTGAGGTCAAATTCAGGCCACAGGCAACATTTAAACTTTTATAGCATAAGTATACACATATGTAACATTGGAGATTAACCTATTAGCCTTCCACGACCAGAAAGTTATGAATATGCAAGGCCTTTAAGAAAATTGCCAAATGTAACATATGTTACATTTGAGATTTCACATTATCATTAAATGGCATTGTGTATTCATAGCTTCCTGCTGTGGAACTGTTCCACTACACAGAGGATTACACAAAGTTTGTGGCTTAGACTACCAGTTGTCAGACCTCCATATTTGTGGAAGCCATGGTGGCCACGTGGGTTAGATCGTTGACTGTATGTCGATTTGATTAGGTGTCTGACTCTGAGAGTGTGGGTTCGAATTCCGGATTGGACTCAACCCATGAAAGTACTAGTACTGTAATTCAATGAGAAAGTGTAATTCCAAATATAATATGAGTTACGTTTGACCGCTTTCTAAATGGCTTTCCTAACTATTATATCCACAATTTCTTAAAATAAGATATTTTACTTTGACAGGACCTCTGTGGGTGTATGTGAACTTTCTCATCAGTCAGTGTGAAGAATGAGTGAATGAGTATGGTTTTACACCACTTTTAGCAATGTTCCAGCATTATCACCAGAAATGGGCTTCACATATTGTACCCATGTGGGGAATCAATCCTGGGCCTTTGGCATGACAAGCGAATGCTTTAACCTCTACGCTACCCCACCGTCCCCAGTGTGAAGGTTTTTAAGGTGTGAAGGTTTTTAAGGTGTCTAAACTCTAGGTATGAGTGTGGAAGCATTAGCATCATTTTATACAATTCCACTATGAGGCTAATACAATACTAATCATGAATATTGGGTAACGAATACAATAACAAGTCAACAGTTGATGCACCATTCAATATGTCAGTGAAATAATAACAAAATCTTTATCCGTTATGTATTACTCATATTGACAGCGTTAACTTGTCACTACAATAACCAGTGACCACATTACTGTCAAACTGTGTTACTAATGGGGTCTAGATTTTCGAAGCTCTCTTAGTGCTAAGATAGTTGTAAGTTAATGTTAATGTATGGCACTTACGACTATCTTAGAGCTAAGAGAGCTTTGAAAATCTAGGCCCTGCCTGGCTTTGATATATTCCATTTTGAATAGCACGCTTTGATAAATGACACCCACACTCAAGTACAAAAAAATTGTTTAAAAAATTAATGAATATTTGATCCCAGCTATTATGAATAATGAACTGTATTCATTAAGGGACCCGGTTCGATTCACAGAATACACGAGTGAATCATAACAGCCAAAGTAAATGACAAAGACTGCATCAGTGTAACACATGGCATATTTGGGATAGCACTTTGATAATAACATAACATATGTTGCAATTGACCAGTTTCTAAAAGGTATTGTGTATGCATGATTGTATTGCTGTTGATATATTCCACACCCTTCCATTTCTCAGCTCTATAGTCTCTATAACCAAAATCATGATCAAAATGAAACCAAGGTCATTTTTTGGAATGATTGGCATTTTAGAATAGCCTATTTTAGCACGAAATGCTGCATCTTGTAACTTAAACATATTTTTTACTAAAAGGCAAATAAACTTGTGAATTCATGTAACCATTTTAATAATTAAACAAATCTGAAATGTCTCTTTTTCACACTTGATCACTCATCGACCTAGCAGGAAAATATACTGAAAACCAAGAATGTGTAAAACATTCTATTACAAAATTGTTTGATCTTTAAACATGTCCTTAGCTATATACACAACAGAATTTTCTCTGAGAAAAGAGCTTACAAGCAGTAATGAAGATTCAGACTTCTCACTTGTGCTAGTGACAGATTTCTTAACAGAAAAATACAGATAACTTACTTTCATATTTAAGCCAAATTAAGGTACTTGATCATGTAGATAAGATATCACACTTGTAATTTTTTTCCTCTCTACCTACTTGAAAATACATTGTACTTCCTTGCACGCCTTGACAGATAATCATACCCCCTACACAGATACTATGTCATACATTTTAGATGTGCACTCTACCATACATTAACATCTTAGGCTGTCCAAAATAGATACATTATGACAGCCAGCAGGATAATTGAGCCATCTATTGGTATTAACGATCTAATAGTTCACACCTTGAACATTGGTCTATGACAACTGACCAATACAAAAGTAAAAACATTGAGGCCACTTGGGCTGGATTAAAAGATTGATAATTAGAAACACTGTCAATGGTAAAAAATATTAACAGTTAGCAATATATCTAATAGAAACTATTGATGGAATAAGGTTTCAATCTACACATACAGTACAAAACTTCATGTCTCAATTCATGAATCGCTTCTAAAATATGTTCTGAAAACTTTTTGTTTGTAATCGATGCATACATGTATCACCACGTACCATACATGTATCACCACTTACCATACATGTATCACCACTTACCATACATGTATCACCACTTACCATACATGTATCACCACTTACCATACATGTATCACCACTTACCATACATGTATCACAACTTACCATACATGTATCACCACTTACCAGACATGTGGTGAAATATGCTGATTTGTTTGGGAATTTTCTTCAACTTTTGCTCAAGTTACTATTCCAATACCTATAAATATTTCGGTAACAATTACTGATCTGAATGATCTATATGGGTAGCTTGCCATTGAGACTACCTATGTTATCTTTAGTGTTGGTTAACAGTACAGTCAATTGTAATGACATTAACCTGTTATCTATATAATATGTTGTATATAGGTGGGGTAAACAAACTCAAACCTAAACTACAATGCATCATGATGTATACAGAGCTAATGCAATAAAACTTGTCAAATGTGACAGTGACAGTTTGTGTACGATGGTTTGTTTACCATGGTTATTGTGAAGCATTAACATGATTAACCTCTTATGAATTGCTTTATCTGGTCCAAACTTAAAGCTTAACGAATATTACAAGTACTGCAGGCTATAGTCTTGTAGATGTGCAGGTGACGAGAGGAACAGAGTAATTCTTGGCAACTGAACATTTCGACAAAAATTGTTGTCTAATTTTCTTTAACTCAGAAATGTTATAGGAAATACACTCTTACCGTGCCATGCTCATACCAAGTGTTGGTTGCGTTTTCTATGAATATGACATTCAGTGGAGAAACCGTGACTGAGTTTTTCGTATCATCTTCCCCAAAAAGCAACACAACTTTTTGAAAGGAAATATACGTGGCCAAAACCGGAAGTAGCCGGTATCGTAAACTGGTCGAAATGTCAAAATGCGACATATATTTGATCATATCATTTTCCTTTATACAACTGCATAGACTAGGTTATCGGTTTTTGTATATTATACGTTATCCATGTAAAGTGACAAAGCGTATTTGATTATAATCTAAGACTGAAATCATTTACAGCAACCAGAATGCGGTGACGAAATAAAACATGGCGGCGGAAGACATCCACGTCAGGCTCTGCTTGCAAGAAATTGTCAAACTAGACCTTGAAGTCAAAGCAATTATACAGGTTGATCATAAAACTGTAACCGATACGTGATTACATTGTATACAAATTTCGAACTTGCCGACTCGACGTACCTATAAAGAATAACAAATACATGTTTGTTCAATATCTTGCCTTGTGACCATTTTAGGCTGGGCAATGACATGCTCATTCCAAGGCAAAGTTACATGATTTTATATACATGCCAGCATCTGGTTATAGAAATATATAAAGGCTTGTTTGCATGAAATGAGGTGTACTCAAATGAAAATGTGTGTACACTGTTGAAAATAACTGCTGACACTATTTGATTCAGGCCACCATCTAATATTACATCAAACACACATTTCAGTCCAGACGATTAAAAAATCTTCCTTTTTTTCTGTGCAATATTGATATGGAAATGATTTGATGACTACTGACCAGGAAACATGCAAAAACATGTAAAATATGTCCATAAAAAAAGAAAATTCCCAGACAGGGGAAAATCACATTGTTTTTAAACCAAGAGTTGAAAATGGACAGGGGCAGTCCTGAGTCATACTATAACAAAGAATTACCTAACTTGATTCACTTGGCCATGTTTACTTCCATTCACCCTGTGTATATGTAAACTGTGAGCATGCATCCAGAATCCAGAAACAATCACACTCAAATATCGTCCTCAAACTGCTGTGACCAACTGATGAAGTTGATGATTGAGGCCCAGATGTAAGACTTTGATTTAATCAAGTCCCTCGCTGAATGGTGGAATGCCTGTTATTTTCATGTGTCCTGAGAGTGTCTTGTTTACTCACTCTACAAAGGTTCAAACACCGAAGAATGTAGAAGGCTCTAATCATGCTAATGATCACACAGTCTAGACCTCCAACTCTTCATATTTCAGTGAGCCTCACCAACAAATGTACATACAGATAGTTCATACTCAATTACAGTTCTTACTCAAAAGAATGTCAAAAACTCCCAAGTACTTACAGTTTGGCCGTCATATTAGATATTTCATTGACCTATGTCGACTGATCCCCAAAAGTCATTGGCTGAAGCATAGAAAGAGTTTTTGACTGCTGTATGAAGTGTACATTTTCAAAATATTTAATGGATAACTTCTTTTTCTAGGATATAAGAGATTATGCTCAAACAACACAAGATGTCGAGGATTTCAATGCTCAAGCTCGAGAACGGATAACCAAATTACGTGGAAAAGTGAATGTATGTATCTTCTATAATACCTGTCATGTGTAGTTGCCTAGATGTAATTCTTGGTCAGAATAGATCCTCAGTGGTGTGTGTGTTGTCTCTTTAAATGAGATTCAGAGTTTCCCACTGGAACAATGATCATAACTCTGATGCTCTAATACTGACCAAGAGATATGATCATTTTGTGCAAGGGACTCTTGCTGCTATGAAGTGTGACCTGGATCCGGTTGTATCAATGTAAGTGTTACTCTCGGTCGCCTGTCAAAATGGCATCTTTAGGGCTAAAACCCCTCGAACAAAACAAACATTTCGACTGCTGTGAAGAAACACGCCTAAATAATTCTGAAGAGTCACCGATAAACCTAGAATCAGTTGGGATGTTTTGGAAAATACACGAACACGATCGCGAAGTGAGCTTGACGCCATACTGGATAGTGTTTACAAAATCAAGTTTTGCTAAGGCCAGTCATAGGGCTTATAACATCATGTATATTTCATATTCAGTTGTGACAAATGCATCGCTGACTTCCTCATACATTTTAGAATCAAATTCCAAATGGTCTTTGTCACTAAAACCAAGTGTCTAAGAAAAAGCTTAAACATATTGGGTGTGAAAACGGACGTTGTGCTCATTACACACTGCTTGCTAGAAATATAAACAAAGCAAAAAATCAGATTTTATACTGTGCAGCATTTTCTAATTTTTTAGACATCAGTTTGTCTACTCAGTAGCATGCATGAGCTCAGTATTTTTAGAAAATGCACTAAAGAGTATCGTAGCAAGAACTAGAAAACTTAAAACAGATACAATACTGAAATTTGATATATTCATACGAAAGTTCTGTGCAGCGCGATGGCCATGTGAGACTTAAAATCATGGAGAACGACATAGGCAATTATCGGCATTTCTGACATTTTCAATGAAAACAATAAAACAAACAACCATATCGCAGATAGTCAGAATGTTTCCGACATTTACATCATACATTTATGGACAAAGGTTCCCTCGCAAAATCGTGGGCACTCATATCCACGGTCATGCATTTCATGAGAAATCGGTCATCGGTAGTGATGTCATACATCAACATTGTTGGACATATGTGGCAATTTCTTTGAGATGAAGGTCGGTTGAATAAGAGTAAACACAATCACACTGTCCCGCGGATTACACTTGTATTCTTAATGTATACTTTTATGCGTGTCGCTCACATATGGTTTCATGAAACTAATTTCATTATCAACATTTAGTATTTTAAACTAAGTAAAGTGACTTAATAAATTAAAATGATTTATTTATTTCATGAAATGTATATATGCACACGTTTTTTAAAGGATATGTCTTGTTCATTTAATTTGTTTATGTTGTGTTATAGACAAAACAATGGCATATAATCATTGGCTAGGTGCGGCTTGTCACAAATGTTTTGAGTATCATTGTTTTTCGATAAATTCTGTGAACAAAACATCACGAAGATATTGTGTCCTTATTCACAGCAAATTCTCGCTAAGTGATCGGAGTTACAATGACTAAGTATTAAGCATACCGGAGTGAGGCCCCTTATCTTTATAAGCGTGTGACCTTTATGTAGCCATTTGACGTCATAGGGAAAATCCATTTTCAACACATATTGCGCGAGTCACTTTTAAGATTGAGTGTATAACGTTATATAAGCACACAAACTAATTAAATACATACCTATGTCATTCAGGTATCAGGCAGAATCTTGTTCGCTCACACTTTCCGTGAAAGATCCCAAATTGAAAATATAGTAGCACAGTACTTTATCAGTGCGATAAAAGCAGAGAAATTTATTGTTTTAACGCATAAAACAAAATTAGTAAACATTTAGCAATGTCTACTTTTCAAACTGAGTTTATACCACGAGATACTGACATTTAATACTCTACATTTCTGTGTAATTTTATAGCTGTAGGTAGATTCAGTGCGCTAAAATCGAAATTCTGGCTTAATGTTCACTTTTCCAGGAAGTTTAATGACGCTCTAATGATACCCCAGGACCTTCATTAAGTTAATGACGCACTAATGACAACAGAGCATCATTAAAACGTTAGTACAACAGAATTTAATGATACATTAGTTAATGAACGTTTAATGTCACGTTAATGCTTCATTAAAGTTTGATACAACCGGGTCCTGGTCATTCAGATAAGATTGGTAGTGGTAGACCAGTGGTTAAAGCATTTGCTCTTCACACTGACGACCAGGCTTCGATTCTCCACATTGGTATTATATGTGAAGCCCATTTCTGGTGGTGAATGCCAACCTGATGTTACTGGAATATCACTAACAGCTGTGTAAAACCCAAATCAGTAATTCAGATTAATACTGTATCCAACCTGTGAAGATCCAGGTTAGAATTGATCTTCAGTAACCCATGCTTCTTGTAAGAGGCGACTAACAGAATCGGTTGGTCAGGCTCGCTGACATGGTTGATACGTCATCATATCCCAATTGCGTAGATCGATGCTCATGGTGTTGATCACTGGATTGTCTGGTCCAGAGCTGATTATTTACAGACTGCTGCCATACGGCTGGAGTATTGCCGAGTGCGGCGTAAAATTATACTCACTCACTATGCACTATACTGTGTCCAGTGGTATTGATTCCAATGTCGATTAGGCTGGGGTGTTGGGGCACACAAGGTCCCTGTGCTTGTTCTAGTTCAACAACTAACCTGGCCAAATGTTCAGTGTTGTTTGTCATTGTACACCATTCTCTGATCAGTATATGACTAAGCAGATGTGAAAAATTCAGGTTGAAGGTCATAATCCTGATGTAAAAGTTGAAGATTTAGGATACCGAGGATCACTGTTACCTTCAAACACTGGGATGATGATGATGATGATAAACCATCGTATCTTCTTTCCCCAAAACAAATACTACTTTTAAAAAACAAATGGATATAAAACCGATGATGATGATGATGATTATGATGACTGTTTTGATAATGTTCATTTTTTTTATCGTATTAAATGCAAGTAAAGTTTCTTAGTTAATTTAATCCTATGATTAATGATTCCTGAAGGAACTGGAGCAACTTGGAAGAGAACAAGACAAAGATTCAGACAGAGAGGCCATTTTAAAAAATGTGGACAACCACCGGCAAACACTGTCCAGGTGGGTATTGCTATGATGAGTCAAATTCATCATGAGTTTGTCAGCAGTGTTTACCTTTGATAACAACGTTGTATTACTATAAGTCATTGGTAATAGGTAATTGGTACAGGCATAAACTTTGATATTTACAAATTTGTATTTCAGGGGCACTGAGGGGCATTCTATTGTGTCAGGGTATTTTTTTTCTCCTGAAATTGTAAAAGTAATATTTTTCTGAGATATCAGAATTGTTCATGAACTTCTGTAAAAAAATCTCCAAAACAGTCTTTGCTTGTCTGTCAGTAAGTTGTAACCCCTTCCTGTAATATGCTCTTCTGTCCTTCCCAGCACTATCACTAGCCTGCGACAGTCGAACCTGACAACGCAGCTAATGATAGAGAAGAGGTCCAAAGAGCAGCTATTGTCAGGTGGAATGTCAGCTAAGCAGAGGTGAGATCATATTTACAAAGAGGTAGACTAAAGTTAGTTAGCAGCCTAAAGTATCATCTAAGAAATAATAATAATAATGTGTCTATTTATGTAAATGAAGCATACAACTTTATGGATGACAACTTCTGGTTTATTTGCGTTGAGTGACGTTTCGATGTAGATGCTTACATTGTTATCAAGCTAAAAAAAAAAGAAAGTTATTTATGTAGCCAAACTCCACACCAGGTATGCTCACAGCACTAACAATGAATAGCACAGAACATTGTTACCCCAGATAACCCAAGCTGTCTGTTAGGCGCTAGAAGGTTATGGTCACATGACTTATCCCACCGGGCGCCCATTTTCTGCTGGGTGAACAGAGGCAATTGGATACAAATAATGTTGGGAGTCGAGGAGTGTTGAATCGACACAGACAATACCTGATATCCCTGGTTTCATCTTGACACACCTTAGGGTCTCGTGAAGATTCCAGGAAAGAATAAAGTTCCAAATTTCCTACTGTAACATTTTACTAAATGGATGCAGTGGTCATACACAGTATCTTGTCTGATGCAGGTCATCATATACCAATTGATGCTCAAGTCAGTCACTTGATTGTCTGGTACTGGTTCGTTTATTCACAAACGTCCATCATATAGCTGGAGCACAGCATCAAACCAAACATATTCCCATGCTTATCATTAATAAGATAGCTAAAAGAAGCTGTAACTCACTACCCAAAGTCAACAGGAAATGGGTTCAAAGGATAAATTCACCTGATTGTCCTGCAGTGGGTTCTCAACCTAAATTACCCTGATTGTGCTAGTGGGTTCTCACCCTATATCACCCTGATTGTCCTGCAGTGGAATCACAACCTAAGCTACCCTGAGTGTCCTGCAGTGCGTTCATGCCCTAAATTACCCTGATTGTCCTGCAGTGGAATCACAGCCTAAGCTACCCTGATTGTCCTGCAGTGGGTTCTCAACCTAAATTACCCTGATTGTCCTACAGTGGGTTCTCACCCTATATCACCCTGATTGTCCTGCAGTGGAATCACAACCTAAACTACCCTGATTGTTCTGCAGTGGGTTCATGCCCTAAATTACCCTGATTGTCCTACAGTGGAATCACAGCCTAAACTACCCTGATTGTCCTGCAGTGGGTTCATGCCCTAAATTACCCTGATTGTGCTACAGTGGGTTCACAGCCTAAATTACCCTGATTGTCCTTCAGTGGGTTCACACCCTAAATTACCCTGATTGTCCTGCAGTGGGTTCACACCCTAAATTACCCAAATTGCCCTGCAGTAGGTTCACAACCTAAGTTACCCAGATTGCCCTGCAGTTTGTTCACACCCTAAATTACCCTGATTGTCCTGCAGTGGAATCACAACCTAAGCTACCCTGAGTGTCCTGCAGTGCGTTCATGCCCTAAATTACCCTGATTGTCCTACAGTGGAATCACAGCCTAAACTACCCTGATTGTCCTGCAGTGGGTTCACGCCCTAAATTATCCTGCAGTGGGTTCATGCCTAAATTACCCTGATTGTCCTGCATATACCAATTGATGCTCAAGTCAGTCACTTGATTGTCTGGTACTGGTTCGTTTATTCACAAACGTCCATCATATAGCTGGAGCACAGCATCAAACCAAACATATTCCCATGCTTATCATTAATAAGATAGCTAAAAGAAGCTGTAACTCACTACCCAAAGTCAACAGGAAATGGGTTCAAAGGATAAATTCACCTGATTGTCCTGCAGTGGGTTCTCAACCTAAATTCACCTGATTGTCCTGCAGTGGGTTCTCAACCTAAATTACCCTGATTGTGCTACAGTGGGTTCTCACCCTATATCACCCTGATTGTCCTGCAGTGGAATCACCACCTAAGCTACCCTGAGTGTCCTGCAGTGGGTTCATGCCCCAAATTACCCTGATTGTCCTACAGTGGAATCACAGCCTAAACTACCCTGATTGTCCTGCAGTGGGTTCATGCCCTAAATTACCCTGATTGTCCTACAGTGGAATCACAGCCTAAACTACCCTGATTGTCCTGCAGTGGGTTCATGCCCTAAATTACCCAAATTGCCCTGCAGTGGGTTCACAACCTAAGTTACCCAGATTGCCCTGCAGTTGGTTCACACCCTAAATTACCCTGATTGTCCTGCAGTGGAATCACAACCTAAGCTACCCTGAGTGTCCTGCAGTGCGTTCATGCCCTAAATTACCCTGATTGTCCTACAGTGGGTTCACAACCTAGGCTACCCTGATTGTTCTGCAGTGGGTTCACGCCCTAAATTACCGATTGTCCTGCAGTGGGTTCAGAACCCAAATTGCCCTGCAGTGGGTTCACAACCTAAATTACCCTGATTGTGCTGCGGTGGGTTCACGACCTAAGCTACCCCGATTGTTCTGCAGTGGGTTCAAAACTTAAATTACCCTTATTGTCCTTCAGTGGGTTCACACCCTAAATTACCCTGATTGTCCTGCAGTGGGTTCACAACCCAAATTACCCTTGTCCTTCACACCCTAAATTACCCTGATTGTCCTGCAGTGGGTTTTTCAGATGTTTTTGCAGAGAGGTGTTTTGGTGTAAAAGATGTATTTTAATGGAACATGTGGACAGTGTGTTTGTTAGAGATGAGGGTACCAAGGATAGACTCTCACCGGTCTGATGCTTGTGTTTGTAACAGAGGCAAGGGCAACAAGGAAACCCTGGCTAAGACCGCCGGCAACATCACAGAGAATCTCATGAGCCTCAACAAGATGCTGACAGGCCAGCTGGAGCAGAGTGAGCTCAGCATGACCATGTTAGGTAGGTGCTTCCAGTCATCATCAGGTTAGGTTTCATTACATGCACTTTCAGCTCAATATGGTCATTTCAAAACATGTAAGAACTGTCGACAAGTCCGAACATGATCTTTCATGTTTGATGAAGCATGCAGTAATGTGCCATTTCACCCATCTTCACTGAAAAAATGTTGTGGCAAATATTGCACAGTGCTTTGTGCCTGTCCTCTTTAGCTCACTGGTATCATCTCCATACCATTGTAATTGAACACCATACTGGTAGAGAACATGATGGGTTTTCTCTACCCAGCTGTTAAACCCCATTGGGCAGTGTTTGGGTTTGTTTCACATGTGCAATCATCTTCTTCTCTCCCCAGCTTCATCCTCGAAGACTGTGACGGACACACAAGATGAGTTCCGCAACATGGGCGGGCACATTGAGAACTCTCGGCGCCTTCTTACCAAGTATGGACGCAGAGAACTCACAGACCGACTTCTGATATTTCTTGCTCTTGTGTTCTTTTTTGCAACAGTGCTGTACATAATGAAGAAAAGACTTTGGCCATCATGATATAAAGATGTTACTTATTTGTAAATATTCATACAATATTAAATAGTGCAATATGTGTTTTCCCACATGACTGTTAATTACATAATAAACCAGATCAGTCAAAGGACAGGTTATTGTACTTGTCAAGTTGAGGTACATTGATTCATCATTATGTAAAAGTGACCCCCTCTTGGGCAGCATGGAGGGGTGAGGGGGTCACATCACTACTACTACATGGTGGTAAGTATATAGGAGCAGTCTTTTAGTGTAATGGCACACTCACAGAGTACTCGAGGCCAAATGTAGAGATAGCATCAAATATAAGATGATACACCCGGCCTTATCCCCCATACTGCATATCTTGACCATGTTGAACATCAGTGCTTGTCACCATCCATTATATCATGTGGTTAATACTCATGCAGTTGGTCTATGAACATATGGGCAGTGTTTCAATAGTGGGGTAAACTTTGTTTTTAGTAACCTGATACATTGTGTAGTTCCATATCAACATCATTTCTGGAGGGTGGAGGCGTCATACTAATTACTGGATAACACTTTTACTGCTGCTGAGAAATCCTAAAAGTTTGGGGACTTTTATGACTGAAAGAGGATTTGACCTCAAAACCTATGGATCCTCTTAACCAGGGTGCACAGCCAGCCGTAGTGCCTGGATGTATCAATTGGTGGTAAGAGCACTCATCAATGCCGTTTGTTGTAGTGACTGGTTTTGACCAAACAATCCAGTGGTTACATATTTGAGCAATGGCAGGGTGCAATACATCCAACAACAACCTTTTTGACAAATCCATTAAGTTGCTACACAGCATAGGTTTGGAGGACCAATTCCCCCAAACTGGACTCAATGTCATAATGACTTGGGGGGGATACTTGGGTGAATTGCTCACTTTCTGTTTAGTACCCCATGTGATAAAATCAAAAACTACTTCATCTGGAACAGATCTTGTGGTGGAAAAGTACATAAATACAAGAACAATCGTTTATTTCATAATCATCCATTTATTTCATTCTTTACACAGTCTACAAACCAACATGACAGCATTGCCCCTGCAATCAACGAGCTTTAAAACGTTAACAATTAACAAGCTTGATTTTGCTAAAAAGCAGAGACCTCGAGAAAGTTCAGCAACGTCTGGCATCCCTCCAGGTTGTCATGAGCCAAAGAAGTGTGTCAAACTCAAAGATTCTTTACTTGGTTCACATGATGGAAGAGGAGTTCTTGCAGACACTATAGTTTCAAAGACCTTGTGTGACAAAGAGAATTTCACACTGACCACACAATTATGTACAATTTAATACTACAAAGATATACACTTAACTAAAACCATGAATTACTTGCCCCAGAAAGCTTTAGGACCACCGACAGCATTTAATTTCAACTTCTCTAATCCTTTCACACACTTTGGAAAGCATTGAAAAAAGACATGAGATAAAATACAGACTTTGCTCAAATCCGGAAGCAATTTAGTGATGCCGTTCAAAACAAGACTTTAAATCTAGCAGGACTCTATACATCTTAATTCCACAGGATTGCAACTAGGCCATTTTGAGAGATATGCAAATAACATCATCCAACAAAAATACAGGCGTTACATGTCAGCAAATTACATGAGTAGCAGACCTTCTTTCAAGAAGAACAGTATGACACTCTTAAGTTAGTCTCCAGGTTAACCAGTCTCTGGATCTATGCTTCCTCATTCTGGAACTCATTACCTCATGGTTCTCCTTTGGTCCCTTTACTTCCAGATAACTTAGTTCAGTGCCTTCAACAAAAGCACTCCGGACTTAGCTGCTCATGAACCTGTGTTTCTCTCGACTGCTGTTCAAGCCCTCCAGATCTATGCTTTCTGTTTCATGAGAAAAATTTCCCTCCATTTTTTCATACCAATGGAAGAAATTTAGCAATTTGTTTGAAGTTTTTTTTTCTTAAGGATCAGTAAATATTATTACAAACCTTTGTCAAATTTGGACATATTCAACTTGCCATGAAAATATATTTCAGATATCCATTTTAGCTTGGGAAATTATTTCTCAAGAAACATGCTTATGTCATCATAATGATCCATTGCTTAAGAACTAAAATATTTAGGGCTTTCAACATTGAACAAAATTTGTTTTAACACGTCGGACAGGTCAGCTGTACTATTGACAGAAACTGTACACTCCCCAGGACTGGCAGGGTTTTATCCAAATACTTTGTTCTGAAATCTTTCCATTGCTGATACTGGATAAAACCCCAACCTGGACAATTAAATATTGCTTTATATACATGTGAAAAAAGATGGATGCTGGCACAGACATACCCTTTATTCAGTTGATGCACGGTTATTACCAACTGTTACACAGAAAAATACTAGTTACTCTATTCAACAAACTTAGTGCACTGTTCATGTAAGAAACAAACATACAAAGGCAGTCTCAGCAGCTGATGAAGATCAACATTCCTCCAATGGGAGGAGGGGAGGGGAGTGAATGCCAGCTTCCTTTAAAATTTCAAATACTTGATTTTCGTGAAGCTGGTATATTTACCTATTTTCCCTCATCAATGTTAACATGGACTTGTGTGGTGTTTCAGGTCTTCAGTGGTATTTGAATCTATAGACCCCATAGATAACTTTTAACATAATGACAATGTCCCCTTGACTTTCAAACCCTGCCTACAGTTTACATGTTGCATTACTTAACATCAAAGAGCACATTATTGATTCATTGTATCCAAGAACAAAATAATACAAGTGTTAGGAAATGGGCGGAAAGTTCAAATTATACTTCCATGAAACTACCCATAGAATTGGTGTTTTCTCATGGAAAGATGTCCCACATCAGGTATATGAATACACCCTACATAGGTAGCAAATTCGAATAATTGTAGGGTTTTACACTAAAGAGTCTGTATAGGATTTATCAGAGTCCTGTGAAGTTAGGAAATCGTGGCAAGTGCTGTAGGAATTTCAAAATTACTTTCATTACAGGACCGTTATACTTCTCGTCAAGAACTGGGTACAATGAATTCAAATGCAACATAAAATTTGCTCTACATCTGTTCTATGTATTTGGGCACATTTCATTTTCAAAAACTCTAGCCCAGGATCACCAAGTTCAGATTCACATTAAGTCTTTGGACTTTGGGTCTTCAGCATGAAAAGTTATGCTTGAACGGTACAAGTTAAAAGATCTCAAACGTATCCGTCAAAAAGTTTCAGATTGTACCCTTGTGACCAGAGAGAGAGCATTAAACAAAGAATGCAGGGCAGGTGGACTCTTTATCATATTTCATTTCTTATATGTTCAGAGCACTAAATTTGTTAAAATTGGCATGGAAAAATATATATTCAAATTTTTAAGCCCAAAGAAAAGGGTAGAGATGTTCAGATATTACTGACTGGATGACAATAATTCATCATCTGTGCAATTCTGACGTTTATATTGATCATGAACAGTATAGAAACCCAGCAGTGTTGCTCCCGTAAGGGCAGTATATGTTATACCGCATTTTGAACACATATTCTTACAAAACATTTAACATGGTCCTTTCATTCAAACAAAAACAAGGCTAAACCCATGAAGAAAATACTGAGGAAAGAATGATCAGATTTTAACCAATTGACCTTTACAAAAGATGCTGAATACCATGGTCTTCTTAAAAATAGAGAAAGAACAGCCTTACAAAATCAAAGAATTATTTGAAAGGCAAATTACAACTAAATTTGTCCTTTCAAGAAAAAGACAGACATAACTATGACAATTTGTTCACAGGCACACAGTTTCAGACAATTACTTTTGTTCATGCGTGACTTGTCAATGAGAAATGACCAGGAATCATCTCATCTACGTTTGAAGAATGAAACTTCAGTCTTAAATATACAAGTACATATTCATACACTATCAACACTATAATACACAGATTAAAATGAGTTTTTTCAATGCAAATGGGTTTGTATGACAAAACATGTGACAGTACCTTGAAACAATTTGACACTCAGCTTCTACTGAAAAAAGCAAAGTAATACTAACAACTGTGTACCATATCCTGGAGAATACTTCCTTTCTTTTGGGACCAACATTGCAATATATACCCATCCTCTGCTTATTTTCCCTTGAAAATCAAAACACTATCAATGGAAATGAGTATTCTATGCCTAGGAAATAAATTAACTTCTAAAATCTAGCCTGACATTGTCAAGGTACTGAAACATGGTGATTGAATAGGATACAGTTACCATGGTAACTGAAGATAGCAGAACCAGATGGGCCAATGACTCACATAAGACAATTTGGCCCTGAACTTCACTCTTCAGCAAGGGCTATGTACAAATTAGACAAATGTTCTTGGGGTAGAAGGTATAGCTGCTGTTGACAAAAACATGTTAATACAAATTAATTGCCTAGTAAGTGCAAAATTTTGCTGTACAGACAAAATATTTATTAAATTATCCACCTTCAGAGTTCTATAATTTCTGACCTTGTTGTTCTCTGAAGCAGAGAGCGTAATAAAGTAATATTTTTTACTGCTCTGATGAGGTGGAGCTTGCGTTACACCCCTAAAGAAATTCCTGAAGCCAAATACTTGGCTTCCCATGTTATTCCCAAGGGAACTAAAGCCAGGTCTTCTGTGTAGCGAGCAAACACTTGCCACTTCAGTACCTCACTGGCCAGTATCTATGGATGTTTGGTGTGAATTGAGGATAAATACTATCTTCTCTACAACTGTTATTTGAACAATGTTAGTTCATTTGTCATTTCCTACTCCTCACTGTCAAATGGGGTCTGATTTTCAAGGCCCCAGTTCTGTTATCTCAGATGTATGTCAGATCTGAATCCCTGACCTCCATACTGGATGATTCAACTGCTGTAAAACGGCTTTAAAACCTATGAGTGATTCTATTAACAAGTGAAGTTGTCTAAAATTTGGGAATGTCAATCACTAGATTAAAATGCTCATCATCACTATCATCGAACAATGGTGCAACCGGCAGCCCGTCCTTAATATTTGTATCCGGCAATGCATTTCCACTGTTCTTTTTCGGCCGTCCTCGACCCTTGCTGTTTCCTGAGTTAGCTTTAGGTATTGTAGATTTGTCATCTTTCTGTCCGTTGTCATTTTCCGTAGGCAACTTTGCACGGATGTTGGCCTTACGGGCCGAATTCACAACAGTTTTATACTTTCGCTTTTCTTGTTGTTGGGGAAGATTTCGAGGGTAACTTCCCACGGGTGGTTTTCTTTCAACAGTCAAACCTGATTTGGCTGGATGTGGAACTGGAGTTTTATTGTCACTCTCCTTCAGTACAGATTCGGGAAATGGAATTCTCTTTCACTGAGTTCTCCTTCTCACTTTTGACATTGGTGTCCATTTCTTCGCCTTCAAAGTCTTTGACACATGCAAAGTCTTTGTCATCCTTCACCGAGGCTGCATCAACATAGGAATCACTTGCCGATGTTTCAGACATATTGTCTACAGGACCACACGTTTTGCCTTCGAGAATGTCACTGTGGTCCAAACACACGAGAGCTCCATCCAAATTGAAAATGTTGTCTTCAATATGACAGTTACAGAATGAATTGGGGCACTCGGAACACACCTTCTTGGCCACCTTGCCACAGATGTCACAGTGGTGCCACGGACACAGCCACTTACCTGGAACACAACACAATATTACATGTCAGTACAGGGGATTCTACCTATTCAAAAGTCAAGACACTGTCAATACTTCACGGGTCTTCTATACACTAGACCAACCGCCTGGTTCAAAGTGGGAATCAGCAACCACTCCAACCAACCAGTTGTTTACAGCAGCAATTTTTCTTGTGCACCATGTGTCACTGCCTAACAACCTCTTTCGTTTGTTTAACGCCACACACAGCAATATTCCAGCTATATGGCATCGGTCTGTAAAGAATCAAGTCTGGACCAAACAATCCAGTGATCAACAGCTTGTACATCAATTTACTCAACTGGGATATGATGAGATGTGTCAACCAAGTCAGCGAGCCTGACCACCTGATCGCATTAGTCACCTCTTATGGGTTGCTGAAGACCAGTTCTAACGACCTCTACTAATTACTTCAATAAAAGGCAGAAGAAAGTTTCCATAAATTACATGCACTAGGGAATGTTTGCATTTCATGACTTCAATTCCTCACTGACCTAAAAACAAACCCATCACATACTACTAAATGTATTCATGAGTGATGGAGGATGGTAGTGTATATAACACATGAAGTATTTACATAGTAGACACTAATGCCTGAACTACTTAGAACTAGAGACACGGCAGTCAGCTATATTTCTGCTATATCATGACAGAGGTAGTTTATCAAACTTGGAACAGACAATCCATGTTTGATATGAGCTGTTGACACAATGACAATCGTCATAGCCGTGTCTGATCCCTTGATCCATTACAACACCAATACATTACTGGAGACCTATTTATGCCTGGAATCCTCACACAGTTGTTTGTTCCAGACAGGTATTTTTTTAGTTGTCTTCATTGACCAATATTGGGATTCAGATTTTCATTTTCCACACCATTGAATTGCAAGGAACAATGTTTACCTAATCAATACATTACATGAATATAAATTCAAAATTATGCCCGATTTGTGTTGAGCATAGAGTTTAGTATATGAAAGCACTTCCTGTGATTTTCCAGCTGACTTAATGTAGCAAATATCATTTTCAGAATTTCCCAAGTAAAGAAATTTGAATTCAATGCCTGACTAACTTGAAGTTATTGAGCTTCTGAAAAGTTTTCAGCAAGTATATTGTACATGGCAATAAAAATGCTATTTTTCAAAATCTTCTCTGTAAAGCCTGAAAAGAATAACCATAGTTAACAACATGCTTCATTAAACAAATTCTGACATGCTGATGAGATCCAATTAGTAAGAAAAGGGGGAAATCTTCATCATCAACCTCACAACCACCCAAGCCACCTCCGACCCAGTATAATCTTACCATGTGGTGGTTTGGCTAGGTTGAGACACTGTAGATGATAGGACTTCGGACAGTTGGGTTTATCGCACATGACAAGTTCGCCGCCTTCTCCGCACCTAAAACATTCATCCTCGTGTTCCTTCTTCACTTCCATTTTCTTCCTCTTGCGTTTCTTCTTCTGCTGCTCCTTTGATCGCTTCTCGTTGGCTACCGCTGCTGCCGTCTAAAACAAGGTGTTGAGATTAGTATTGGTTACCAAGGAGCGGGATCATTTTGGTCAAACTACAAGCAGAGTTATAGTGCTGACAGACCACAAATCACTAGATCCAGGTAAGGCCAAGGGATGTATTTCAGCACAGCGAAAACATCATCACTTTTCTATGTACAAGGATGTACAATATGTAGAAAGATTAACATTGTATTACAAAGAAAGTGACCTGTCAGAAAAATTCGAAAATACAATTATGCATTACACCCACCCACCGCCCGGCCGGACACACCCACATCCAGTCACAACCGCACACACCCAGTCACACACATACGCATGCACAAACCCACACTGCAGAGATTTACATATAAAAAGGCACCACAAATCCCTTATTGTAGATAAAACACAAATGGCTGTCTGTTATGTAACATCATGTGTCAGTTAAGGCAGCATTTTACAAACTTATCAAACGTAAATTTAGCTAAACCTGTAGAGGTTTCCAATTCTTTGAAGAGAGTCGTCCTTGGGGTACATATATATATGCATTTTCTGTGGCTGAAAATGTCATGTGACAGTTGTATCAATGTTTTAATAAAAAATATTGTACAATAAATATAAATCTTTTTATCTATTTTACGGCCCCCACCACGTGGAGTTACCTCCCTGCTACGCATGCGCAGCCAACCAGGTAAGCACCTAGGCCCGTATCATCATTCCTTCTGCTGAATAAATCAGTGAACAGAATTGCGGGGAGGTGGGCCGCCCTACCCCAAGGACGACTCTCTTCAAAGAATTGGAAACCTCTACAGGTTTAGCTAATTCATTTTCATAGAGATCGTCCTTGGGGTACATATATGCATTACTTCACATTCCCAAAGACCGGAGGCCAGGGAGGAGGGAATTCTGTCAAAGTACACATAAATAGTGATCGTTAGGAAGAATGTAACAGACGCCACAATCCTCACCTGTCACGTGTCCCGAAGCTTCCGCGAGAGGCATGATGGGAGGGTAACCAACAGGGGGGATAAGTACTTAGATCCGACCTCATAGGTTAAGCACATCAATTCGCACACAGTGCGAAAGTAAAAACCCTGCCCACATCATGATCTATTAGAGAACACCGTAAGGGAGAAAAACCAACTCACAACCGACCACAAGCTCTGGAGAGAATCGAAAGGAGTTAGATAACACAACAGCGGATATATCAATAATACACAATTGAAAGCAGCGTCAACTGTCCAGATAACCAAGGCTCACTTGGTCAGGATGACAGGACACTGTCCACTCGAGAGAACAGAACGGCAAAAACGTGCACGATCACGTGAATGTGTATCGAGCTGTTAGTGCCTGATAAAAGTGCTAGGCCTGCTCCAAACAGCGGCAGAGCATATCTCGTCAATGGGTAGTGCTGATGCAAAAGCCTTTGCTGTGGCCACTGCCCTGACCGAGTGAGCCTTCAACCCCTCAGGGGGAGGCTTGCCTTAGCCTGATAGGCAGCACAAATGACCGATACAAGCCAGCGAGATGGGGTCTGTTTGCTAGCCGGCATCCCAGCCTTCCCGCCACCGTAACAGCAGAACAGATGGGTACCTGTACGGATCCCTTGTGTTCGCGTGATATAGACCTTGAGAGTCTTACGGACAGTCAACGGGTGAGTGCTCGTTGCAGAAGTCCCCGATGTGGAAGGCTGAGTAAGAGTAGGAAGTTCGATAGGAGCTGTCACATGGAAAGCGTGATCGATCTTCGGACGGTAAGTACACGATCTGGATGGAACACAGTCAGCACCAGGTCTGCCGACATAGCATGTAAGTCGCCAACCCTTCGCCCAGATGTTATCGCCACCAGAATTACGGCCTTCCATGTTAACAACTGAATGGAAATAGCCGACAGACGTGAGAATGTAGGACCGGACAGCCAATCTAGCACGATTGACAAAATACCAAGGTGGGCCGGTTCGCCTGACAGCAGGTCGAACCCGATCCACGCTAGCTAAAAAGCGCCGTAGAAGAGGTTGTTGCCCCAGAAGAGCACCATCGACAGGGGTGTGAAAAGTGGAAATAGCCGTGGAGTAGCCACGAATAATCGAAGCTGCCAAGCCTTCTTCCAAACAAGCTTGCAAAAACTCCAATACTCGGACTAAATCCGCAGAAAAGGGATCTGCAATTCCCTTATCTGAACACCAGCGCGCATAGCGGGATCACCTATCCTCATATTAAAAGTTCGTCGAATCCCGCCTCGAAGCCAGAATTGTGTCTGCAACTGCTGCAGGAAGTCCGCGTGCTTCGAGGCTAGACCTGACAGAGGCCAAGCCACCCACTGAATCATTGGATTGGGGTATGGCACGCCGTTCTGAGTGAGAATGTCTGGTTGCAAAGGTAATAGAACAGGAGGCTGAGCCAGTAACCTGAGAATTACCGGAAACCAGCTCTGTGACGGCCATAGTGGTGCCAGTAGCACAAGTAGCCGAGCTGGCTGGGTGGACAGCTGGGAGAGGACCCGGGGAATGAGTGGTAGCGGCGGGAATGCCCAGAGCACTTTGCCCGTCCAATCCAGCAGGAAGGCGTCGGAAGCCAACGCCCTCTGGTCCGGTATTCGAGAGCAGAGCACAGGTATCTGATTCGTCCCGCCGGATGCAAACAGATCCACCTGGAACGATCTGTACAACTGGGAGATAACTCAGAATATCTGCGGGTCGAGCAACCACTCGTGCGGGGCCAGAGAGCGTCTGCTCGCACGTTCTCCAGCCCCGTGAGATAAACAGGAAGCACGTGACAGTTGCACTGGTCGCACCAGAGGAGAAATTCCAACGTCTTCCGAAGGAGCGCTAGGGACACCGTGCCGCCATGCTTCAGGATGTAAGTCATGGCCGTACGGTTGTCCAACTGAAGACGAACCATCTGGCCCTGAACATGCTTCCGGAAGCGCTCGAAAATCAACCGCACAGCTCTCAGTTCCAAGACGTTGATGTGAAGGCGGGCTTCGGCTTCGGACCAGAGTCCAGACACCAACAGACTGCCCAGAACACTCCCCCAGCCCGTGAGGGACGCATCGGTTTGAACTGTAAGAGCTGGCGTCGGGAGTTCCAAAGGGATCCCCTTGGAGAGATTCCCAACATTGGTCCACCACTGAAGGTGAGGAGACAACCACCCGGGGACTGTGAGACATTGCTCCAGATCCTCCGAGTGAGCATACAGACTCGCCAAAGCTTGCTGTATAAGGGCGCATCCTCAACCGCGCCCACCACACTACAGAGATAGTTGCCGCCATATGACCCAGTAGAGGGAGCCAAGTCCGCGGTGGTGTCTGGGGCTGGGAGAGGAACGAAGACACTATCTCCCGTACTCTGGTCGGACGACAAGGAGACAAGACCCTTGTGAGTTGTGAACCGCGCCCCGAGAAAAACCAAGTCCTGGGTGGGTACCAGGTCGGATTTCTTGAGGTTTATGATCCACCCCAGTCGAACTAGAATGTCTATCACCTTGTGGGTAGAATCTAGGCTCGCTGGCTGAGTTAGAGCGCTGAGCAACCAGTCGCCTTCCTTGCGACCTTGCGAGGGTAGCTGGCACTAACGTGAGCTTGAACACCCTGGGGGCAGTGGATATGTCGAAGGGGAGCACCGTGAATTGGTAACCCATCCCATCGTAAGAGAACCGGAGGTACTGCTTGAACGAGGGATGAATTGACACATGTAGATACGCATCCTTTAGGTCGGTCGACGTAAGCCAATCGCCGGGCTGAACAGAGGTCACCGAGCGAAGTGTCTCCATCTTGAAGGATGGAACCTCTAGCATGCAATTCAACCCCTTGAGGTTGAGAATGGGACAGAATCTGCCATCCTTCTCAGGAAAGAGGAAGTAAGTGGAATAAAATCCCGCCTGTTCCTCGCCCGGTGGTATGCGCTCTATTGCAGACTTGTCCAGCAAAGCCTGAACTTCGTCTTGCAGTAAACCCGCCCTGACCGGACATGACGGCACCGGAGACGTATGCCGGTGAACTCTGGCGGGCATCGCTTCCACAGTGGGAGATGGCCGACACTGACGGTGGATAGCACCCAAGTGTTGCTGGTAGCCTTCTCCCACTCCGGGCCCCCCACTGGGACGTGTGGCAAGATGGCGTGAGTGGTCCCTTGCAGACGAACTGATGAACTGGGATGGAGGAGGAACCCGCTACGGGAGCGCAGGAGCGAGAAGCCCGCGGTTGCTCCAACAAGGCCTTAGAGTCCTTGAAGGAGGTAGCTGTGGCAGCAGCCTCCCAAATGACCTGCTGTGCCCCCGGAAACAACGTCGCTCCCAGCCGGAACGGAAGGGCCAGCAAGGTCTGCTGTGTCGCTGCCGAGCAACGGGACGTAGACAGCCACAGCTTGAGCATCCCCATGACTGCGCACATCACCATAGACGCGGCAGACCGCTAAGAGTCTCGCGCCAGGTGGGCCTGCACTTCGGACAATTGGCGAAGCTAAACAACATGCGGGGAAACTTCCCCAGTGCTCCCTTCTGCCTCCAGAGCCGACCTTTGAATAGAGGAAAGGTAGGCCTCATGGATCACCACCCGCACCTGCTGCATGGCATTCAGGTAGACTTCCTCATAAGTCTCGTATGTGTGCTGCAGGGGGGCGCCCGCTAGGGCAAACGGTGGAACTAAACACCCTTGCTTGGCAGCCGGAGCTGCAGCTGAGGAAGCCGAGCCTCCTTCGAGGGCGACCGAAGTGAACATGCACTAGTCAACCACCGAACAAAGAACAGACTTGTCCCCAGCTGGTACCTCTTAACGAGGCCGAGCCCCAGACACCGAGGGAAGGGAAGAGCTGAAGGAACTCCCCGCTCCGGCAACCGACACACTACTTGAACCCGGTCCCGAGACACAGGAGGAAGACCGGGCAGGTCCAACTCCTCCGCTCTCATGGGGCAGGGTGGCGCAGGGACCGGAACCCCAGGAATCCTCAACAGACCCTGCGCCAGCACCGAGAGGGGACTGGGAGCGAACCCTCCCCCTCCGGGGTAGCCGAAGCGTCTGGACCCGGAGCCAAAGGCAAACAATCAAGCCGGGCTCGGCGGTCCCACCCCCGGTCCCCTGTTCAGAGTGGGTGAGGAACTCCTGGCGGAGACCTCCAACGGACTCATGAACAAGGGACTTCACGGAGTCCATATGCTGCTGAAACAATTGAGTGATTATTGACATATCAAAACCACTAGATTGGGATGATTGGGAATGCGACTTATGCAACGACCTAGTTTTAGCTTGTTTGGCTTTTGACGGGGGGGGACCTCCTGGGTAAGTTCCCCTCCCACCTCTCGCAAATCCTTACAGAAAAGGACATCCGCCGCCCTTCTCTCAAGAACGAATAAAGACCATACATACAGTTGTTGAAGTCTCAGAAATTCTTCTACACGAATAAATCAGCTTGTAACTCAGGTTGTAAATACGTGTAAACACTTGAGTGACAGCAGAAGGAAATGATGATACAGGCCTAGGTGCTTACCTGGTTGGCTGCGCATGCGTAGCAGGGAGGAAACTCCACGTGGTGGGGGCCGTATAATAGATAAAAAGATTTTTATTTATTGTACAATATTTTTATTAAAACATTGATACAACTGTCACATGACACTTTCAGCCACAGAAAATGCATACATGTACCCCAAGGACAATCTCTATGAAAAAAAGAATAGAAGTCTCCTGCAACACCATTTTAAGCAGAGCACCCCAGGGAAAATATATCATACCCAATGATAATTCTGAGTACATACTCGTGGCTGGGGAGGTGTTGTTTGGTATATTACCTTGGGTCTGACTCCTAGGAAGCCACTGCAGTTCAGAGCTCCACAGCCACAGGTCTTCTTGTCATTACCCAAGCAGTCCAGGTTGTAGTTGAACGTCAGCTCAGATCCTGGAAGGATGGACATAAGAGGGTGTAAAGGTGTACCAGTGACTGTTTCCAGAGCAAAGGATAACTTCCTCATAGACACTCAGATGCAGCTTTTCACAGACACCGAATCATTCAGAAACCGAAAACAACAATTTCCTGTTCTCACCTGATCAACATTCAGGCCAGAAAAACATAACTTGGTGAAACTACTGAAAACTCCATATTCTTTTCACCATTAGTGAACATTGTACTCAATTCTCGCATCCAGTATCCTGAAAATCAGACCACTTACTCAAATTTGATGTCAAGCTCCAGCTTGATCAAACAAACCTTCCACAGGAGAGATCATTTTTAATGAGCCAATTAGTACAGAGGCGTTGTAGCTTTTTAAATGAGGACCATTACTGACTTCAGCATCTAAAAATCGCATGTAAATGAGCAGTTCATAATGCCAAAAAGAAAAGGTTACAGGATCAACTTTCAAAGAAAGATTTGTTTCTCCTGCAATAGTTATAATTTCAGATTCATGGTGGTCGATAAATAGAAAAGAACTCTTAGCATTTGACGGGATCAATAATTAGGTTAGCAATATTTCAGCAATATCACGGCAGGTGACACTGGAAATATGCTTCACACATTGTACCCATGTGGGGAATCGAACCCGTTTATTTGGCATGGCGAGCAAACGCCTTAACCACTAGGCTACCCAACTGCCTATTGGAAGAACACATGTACAAAGACAACTTCAGTAAGATGACGTTATCACCTGAACTGCAGTCACTAACGACACACAGAGGATACAGGGCCCAATTTCAGAAAGCTATCATAGCGCTGTAGTAGGGCCCTGTACAGTCCCATAATCCCCAAAATGATCTGCACTAACAGCACTCAGTCTGCGAAATTAGTCAGCAGTCCAAACCAAGATTGAAGGCACAATGTCCCACAAAATATCATGTGAGCTTAAGTAGTAAATGCCATAATGTTAACATCAACCTATTAAAAATGATGCAGAAAAGCTGGTTTGTAGGTGTCATAGAATTTAATTTGGTTTTCTTTTTTAAACATCGCACTCAGCTATATTCCAGCAATATGGCGGCGCTCTGTAAATAATCGAGTCAGTAAAAGACAATCCTGTGATCAACAACAGCATGAGCATGCGTATCAACCACGTCAGCGAGCCTGACAACCCAATCCTGTTTTATCACGGGTTATAGAAGTAGAGACTCACCTGCAGGGACATCCTTCAGAGCAAACAGCCCTACCCTGATGTCACCGTTCACTGTCCACTTTTGGGTCTCACAGTTAGGAGAACAGCAGTGGTTCATGAAGCGAGACAGATTACCCTTCGGGCATGCGTCAATTATTCTGCAATAAAGCATCAGAAGCTGCAATTTCCATCTTAATAAAGGCAAACTATATTTTTACTCCTTTAATCAAATAGTATTTTTACACTCTAGGATGGGGTTATGCTCATTATCAGAGCTAAATATTTCAATGACTTTAAGTTTACGTGTGTGGGGATCACGTCTTTGATACCATCCTTTGACCATTATTGATGTGTTCTAAAAGGCAAGTTGACCGGGCTAGATTGGGTAAGGCTGTAGTCAGTTTTCAGCAATATCACAGCAAGGCACACAAGAACCTGAACAGGCAACTGAACCCGGACCTTGAGCATGACAAGCATGACTTGGCTATGATACTTAATGAACCCCTTTCAGGACTCTGAAGAGATGCATACCTATTTTTATCAAGAGTTAACATATAAAAGTTGGAGACGTTGTCTTCATGAGCTTGTTTTATTCTTCTCTTGCACTCCTCTTCATCGATCAGATCACCGACGTACTCATTCACAAACTGACCCTGGAAAAATTATGTGATGAACTTTTAGGGAGATGAAAAGACCATGCTCAGAATTTAAAGAAAATAAATGGAGAAAATATGAAACACAAAACTAGCTATAGTGTATGTTTAAACAGTTTTATGCTGCACTCAAGGGCTCCAGATAACTTTCAGGGGTGTGAATGTACTTATACCTAATATTACAAGTGGAGGTGTACTGAGAATTTTGAAGGGGTACCGACATATTTGTGTGTGAGCGAGCCGGTGATGTGGTTTGTTATTCATAATATTAAACAACTTCTCAGCTAATAAACTTCACATATGTTAGACGTACAAAGGTATTTATGTGAGTACAGGATACGCTTGAAATCATATATCATGTCATACTTCATAATTTTTAGGCGTACATTACGCCTGTACGCCTCTTATCTGTAGCCCTGAACTCTGTCATATTTTCACCTACATGACAGCAGGCCTGTGCATAATGAAGTCTAGTCCGGCAGCCAAGTGACAAATAATATGAGCAACAACCCACATCATAATGACATGCAATCAAGAAAGGGACCTGTGTGCCGTTGTACAAACAACCTTAGCGCGCTAAGACTGTAGTAAGTCTATGCTCAGGTATGGGAGTTATGATCACCTTAACGCTAAGATTGTTTTGTACAACGGCACCCTGGTCTGACCAATCAAGTAACGTAGCAGAATGGAAAGCTTGGAAAATTTAACCTAGGAATTCTACTGGGCATCAGGTCACTGAGTCAGAATACCTGGGCCCCGTTCCAGAAATCTACCGTAGCCCTACGACTGTCATACCTCCTATACTGTAACATTGACTTAGGACAGTCGTAGCTCAACGATAACTTTCTGAAATGGGACCCTGATCCAGGAAGTCATATCTCAACACCAGCATTGACTGCCAAGAAGCACTTCCACCTCTGAATTTGAAAGGGACTACGAGACAATGACTATCACTATCAATATGAAACAACTCAATCCCGAACCTTTTTGACATCTTCTAGTGTTTTCAGACCCCATCCTCGGCTGCTGGTTTTGAAGCTTACTGACTCAGGATACTGCCTCTTTTGAAAGCGTTGGTTTTGGCACTTCTCCCCTGCTGGACACGTTGAGGGGTGGCACTCGTACATGAGTATTGTGTTCAGGCAGTTGGCCTCAATGGTACAGGGATTGGGCATGTCCGGAGTGCATTCACACCTTGGGATGTTCGCTAACTCTGCTTTATGGACCATCACGTTTCCAATGGGAACATTTGCCTGGAAAGAAGTTATGTCGAAATTTAAGGTAAATACTTCTACTTTGGACAGTAACGATCAATTTAAGATTTGACACATCAACAGCTACAGCTTGTTCAGCTTGACGGGGAGCTACTCTACATATGCATGACCTGGGAGGTCAAATGGCACAAACGGCTGGTCGAGTTAACTTCATTAAATAGGGGAGCAAAGAATGTTGCGTGCATATATGGATTCGTTACAGCCCGAATCAGAAACATTAAACTATCTGTAGCTTCTTTTTCAAAGAAAGTTAGGACATTGCTAACAATTTTTCGACACAGAGATGTCAAACGGCGATCTTGTCTCGGTTGTTCGGACATGTTGACAATCAACTGACAAAGGTGCACCCCTTGATAATAATAGACCGAACCAGTTGTGACACGGTCATGCAATGCATTAGTATTCACTTGATCAGGTCAAGCTGAACAAGCTGTAGGTCACAAATTGTTACACCAAATCCTGCCAACGAATCACCATGAGTGGATGTTATCACTTACTTCAATGAGAAGAAATACTTCACACAACAGCTAAGGGAGTGAGCGAGTGAGTTTTAGTTTTATGCCGCTTTAAGAAATATTCCAGCAATATCACAGCGGGGAACACCAGAAATGGGCTTTACACATTGAACCAATGTGGAGAATCGAACCTGGGGTCTCGGCGTGACGAGCGAAAACTTAACCACTAGGCTTCCCCACCGAATATGTAGGACTAAGGATGATTTCATGCTGATATGAACACTATTATTGTTACACTGTGGCATGCCAGCTTTCCCATAAGCATTGGTATAGTGCTGACAAAGACGTATAGACAGAGCAAATTTGGAAATCAACCAAATGATCATAGGTCTCACATACATCTTAGGGAGTATCACTGCAAAAAACAAAACTGAAGACTTCTGTAAGCTCAACATAAAACATTCCTCTGTTACAGGTTAATTCAAGCGAAGCGATCATACTTTGACGAACTTGAATGGAGCTGGCTTCTTGTCATTTCTCTCTTGTTCCATCTGCTCTCTGTTCTCCTTGGCTTGTCTCCAGATCTTGAAGGCCTCAGTCGCTTCCTTCACCCCTGAACATGGACATACATTGGAAAACGTGCTTTAGAACATTGACAAAATTATTTAGTCCACAATGTAATATTTGGCCTGTGATGAAACACGTTCCAAATACCAAAATGACCTTAGAAAACTAAAGTGGGAGAAAGGCAGAGTCATTGCACAGCACCGGAAATCTTGTTTGTTGGTGTATTATGCCAATCATCAAATATTTCAGCTGTATCAGCAATTGAAATTGAGATCACTAGAGACAGTGTTCTTTTCAATCACCATAAGGCCAAATAAAAAATATGTTGTGGTTCCGACTACACCTCTTTAAAATTTAGGGTAGGTAGGTAAGGCTTTTTTTAAGTTACATCTTTTTTAGAAGTGAAGTACAAACTAGTAACACATTTATTAATGTGTAAATGTTTATTTAATCAAGCTTGCGGCCATCATGTCGACTGTCTCTATCAGAATGACCGATGTCTGTTGGTGCTGGGAAAAAACAACAGTATCTGAAAGCTTATTTTATTCATACCGCTTAAAAAGAAATAGGGTCGTCACAAGAATTCAAGGGTCGGTCGGGTAATCGGAACCACAACATTATTTTTTTTTAAGGCCTCACCTGATGCCACAGTAATAAAATCACAGCTTTGACACTATAGATCTGATACAGAATCATACCTTTAGAGAAGATCTTAGCAATGCCCTTTGTTGTGGAATCTCTGCTTCCTTTGTCCCCTTCTTGGAACAAGAACACTCTGAAATTTGAAAAGTGACACCTTAGAAAGAAAAGGTACCCATACCTTTGATTCAAATATTCATGGTATCTTTAATGGCAACTTCACATAATAAATATGATTTCTTTCTCAGGGGTTAATGGACTGTAGAAGGCAAATGAAGTTGGCTAAACGAGGCATCATTAATCAGTGAATCAGTTCATTTCTGTATCTTACCTGCCCTGGTAGAGCCAGAAATAATCTCTAGATCCAAGGAACTTGACTGGAAACTCCCCAACATCGTGCGGCTTCTCCTGGATATTTGTGGGTACATTCCGTGGATGACATATCTCTCCAGGCCACCATCTGTAACAGTTAATGATTTACAGTTCAGGACGAGGCGTCCCCAACATACATTTTACATAAACAGCTTCAGTTGCCCATCAACTAATTCAGACTGATTGAAAACTAATTGCTCTTGACTTAAAAGATGGCAGAGTTTGCATTTACACATGACAGTCAAAGTGTCCATAAAACTAGTTGTTGAAGATGAAGACATAATGGCTCCAAGATTCATATACTACCACAGAAAAACTCAAGGACTCCTATTAATTAGAAAACTGAAAATAACAGGAACTATATAACACATGCCATATGCTTTTGTTACAGACATTTAGATTAAACCTATTGTGAAGGACACTGAATTGTTGCTACATCAAAAATTTATAGAAACCTGCAGAGGTTATGAAATCTTTGAAGAAAGTCCTCCTTTGGGGTACATATAAGCATTAAAATGTCCATTTAAAATCCTACGACCAGCTGTAACTATATTTTTCAATAAAATATTTACAAAACAAAAAACTCTTTTTGTCTTGTGAGACCAACCCCTACAGGGCCCCACCTGGCCCCCTACCGCGTACCTCACTTTTCAAGCTAAATGTATCAGACAGAATGAGGGGAGGCAGTACCCCAAGGAGGACTTTCTTCAAAGAATTCATAACCTCTACAGGTTTGTATAATTCTTTTTCAGAAGAAGTCCTCCTTGGGGTACATATAAGCATAAGACAGACACTCAAAGGTATTTGAGACAGGAGAGGCATTCTGTCTGGCAACATTTAAACCCATTACAATGGAAAGGAATGTATGGGGACATGCTGAAACAACTCCCAACCCTAATAAAGGCCGAACCAGCGAAGCCGCCCCGTTCAGAGTGAAAATGTCTGTCTGAAAAGGTAATTCGAATCCTGGCGTGCGGGATCGAACACAAACCTGACTTCTGTAAATTCCAGCACATTGATGTGCAGGTTGTGACTTCGTCGTCAAGAGACCGCAGGTCGCCCAGAACATCGCCCCAACCCGGGAGGGATGCATCTGGCTGGACTGAGAGCGATGGTGCCTCCAGGGGGAGCCCCTCAGAGAGATGCCTGACGTCTGTCCATCTGACTGCGTGACAATTCGGCCCAGTTTCGTAAGAGTGACCAACACTGATCGTGAGGTTCCCAGACTCTACTGTTATTCTAAAACCCCCGATGAGCCAGTCGCCTAGGTACAGGTGAGAACACCAGCACTGCGATCTGGCTATCTGGGCTGTAATAAACCTCAATTTGGTGAACACCCTTGGCGCTGTAATGTAGCCTAAGGGGAGCACACGAAACTGGTAGCACGTCCCATCGAAGAAGAACCGAAGGTAAATCTTGAAATCAGGGTGCAATGGAACATGGAGGTGCGTGACCTCGAGGTCGATTGACGTGCGCCAATCCCCTGTCTCAACAGATGTGATCACCGAGTGCGGTGTCTTAATCTTGAAGGACAGTACCTCTATTAACTTGTTCAGCTCTCAGATGAGAATGGGTCTGAACATTCCGGTCTTAATGGCAACGAGGAAATAAATGGAGTCAAACCCCACATTTTCCTGACCATTGGAAACCACCTCGACGGTTGCCTTGCCCAGCAGAGACTGTATCTTGGCACAGAGTATTTTCGTCGTCTCTCAGGAAGCCGACACTGGTGTGCGTCGCACTCCAACCGGGGGTTTGTGGCAGAATACAGTTAACCCCTGACGTCGGCAACATAACGTTTGCCCGTGCCTGGGCACCTGAGGGATTAACGAGAAGCTCGACAGACTTCCGTATTCTTTGAAACAGTCCCAGGCACCATAGGCCCATAACCGCACTCATCATTTGGCTGGCACAGCTACAATGCAATCCCTAGCCAGATGAGAGTTGACCTCCGTCGGATGCCGCCGTGAGTCGCCGATGAAAATCACCGGAGCTCTTTCCTCTTTCCACCAGCTCCCTCAGCAGAGCTGATAAAGTGCCGAGTGGAGCATACAGCGTTGAGCTGTTATGGGGAAGAACGGCAGACTGACGGGACAGCCTTGTCCTGGATGCCTTGCTGGAAGCAGGCTTCCCTCCGGGAGGCGAACTCCAACGGTTCTGGTATTCGACGTGGACAACACCTGAGGCAACACAGCCACGATTCTATCTCGTACTTGCCTCAGGGACGAACCTACTCAGTGTTAAGTTCAAAGCAGCGATAAGAGCCGAAGCTCATATCGACTTGTCCACTGTACTAGCCTGAACCCCGGTTCCGAGGCACATGGGAGAAGCCTGATAAATCAAGGTATCCCAAGCACTCAGACAGACCTCAGAGCGTCAAGGTGACCAACACACCCGGCACACTCGATAGCTTCTTGGTTGGTGCCACTCACTGGGTTCAGAGCATCAGTGGAGCCGAAGCTCGGCAGTTCTAGACCGAACCCCGATCCCGAAACACGTAGGAGTAGCCTGATAAATCAGGGTTCCCCAGTACTGTCTCCAAAAGCGCACTGAGCATATAGTCAACCATAGCCTATAGCGCTATATAAATACCCATACATATATAATATATAAGTGCTCAGGTAGGCGGTTCGAGTTCGAACCCCAATCCTGAAACACCTGGTAGTAGCCTGACAATGCAGGGTTCCCCTGGTCTACACAGGTAGACCTCGGTGCATCGAGGTGATCGGTAGCTCCGTCACACTCAACAGCCTCTTGGCCAGGGCGTCGATAGACATCGGGCCAAGACCTGAGCTAACAGCGCCGGGGATCTGCTCCGTACAGGGGCCAAAGCCCAGGTCGGTGCTAGTCCGACCCCCAGTCCCAAGACACATGAGAGTAGCCTGGCAATGCAGGGTTCCCCTGTACACGGGTAGACCTTGGAGCGCCGAGGTGATCGGCAGCTCGGTAGCTCCGTCACACTCAACAGCCTCCTGGCCTGGGTGTCGATTGACATCAGGCCGAGGCCTGAGCTACCGGTGCTGGGGATCTGCGCCGTACCGGGGCCGAAGGCCGGGTAGGTGATAGTCCCCAGGTTCAGAGTGTCCGAACCCCGGTCCCGAGACTGGCAATGCAGGGTTCCCCTGGTGTACACAGGTGATCGGCAGCTCAGTAGCTCCGCCACATCGAGACCTGAGCTACCGGCGCCGGGGATCTGCGCTGTACCGGGGCTGAAGCCCAGATCAGTGCTAGTCCCTGTTCAGAGCATCCCCGGAGCCAAAGCTCGGGTCGGGACCTCCCCCAAATGATGCGCCAGTGCAATCTCTACCCATAGACCGGGTACCAATCTCCTCTCGGGAGTCTGGAAACCACGTCTGATATAAGAATGTGCACCGACGATCTCCGCTGCTGCTATAAGTAAGAAATCAATCGTTAGTGTAGCAACATTGTTTGTGGGGGAGGAGTAAGTGGGGGGACGACAAAGGAATTTCCTTAGAAACCTTTCATCAAATATTATCCTCCGCCTGAAGCAGATTAGTGAAAAAACATAAAATCAGACTTCTTTCGGACCGTTGGCAAATCTGCTGGATTTGTCAGAGGGTCAGACACTATTCGCGAACACTGGTGTTACATAACACAACATAACGTAACAGGAATATAGACACAAGGGCGCTTATTATGAACATCCTTGATCGCCGTGAACGTCCTCGGCTAAACACCGGAGGCACACCTTATGGCCATCCTGTGGCGGTAGTGTGGCACGGCACAACGCACAGGGCTCAAACTGCAACAAACAGAACCACGCCAGTGCTACTAGCAGGAACTGTGAAGCCGCAAACATATAAACACAAGTAAATAGCAACAAACGCAGGGGTGATTTTTAAATGCTACAAGCTAGAGCCAATACTAAACATACAATGCAAAGCAGAAAAAAGGCTAGCCGCACCTGCTTGTACATACTAGTGAGTAAAGTTGAGTGATACTAAACCAACACTCTATCAACGACTTAGCACAAATTTGCTGAAAAGAGAGAATTTAGGCAAGTCTCCCATATAATATGCAAAATATATGAACTCCCTACTACAAGCTACCAAGAACATGCATGTAGCAAGGAAACCACGATCACGCGGTCCGCCATTTTGCCTGCCACAAGGCTGGAAAACAGAGAACCCACGGCAAAAGATGAATGAGAATATCAATATATGAAGCCCATCTAACGCCCGTGCGTAAAGAAAGGAACCATACATACAGATTGAGACTCTTTACACTCATCTTATCGGTAGGAGAGCAAACTCGAAACAAACACCACATACTTCTATTCAACAGAACGACAGCATGAAAAGTGAGGTACGAGGTAGTCGGTGCGAGTTCCCTGCTCTTGGCTGTAGGGGGCCAGGTGGGGCCCTGTAGGGGTGGTCTCAAAACGGGTTTTTTGTTTTGTAAATATTTTATTGAAAAATATAGTTACAACTGTTGTAGGATTTAAAATGGACATTTTAATGCTTATATGTACCCCAAGGAGGACTTCTTCTGAAAAAGAATGTCCTTTCCTATTTTCATACCCTTGTAACAAACAAGTTAACTTATATGCTCATATTGTGAGAGAGTGAGTGAGTGAGTGAGTTAGTTTGGTTTTACAATGCTTTTGAGCAATATTCCAGCAATATCATGGCAGGGGACGACAGACATTGCACCCATGTGGGGAATAGAACCCAGATCTTCATCATGACGGGCAAACGCTTTAACCACTAAGCTACCCCACCGTCCCTGTCATATTGTGGAGTTCCTTACCTGTAGTTTCCAAGCTTGACCCAAATAATGTCACCATAGAGAGGTTTCTTCCCACTTCGACAGGTATGGCAGTACCAGCTTCCCTGGGGGAAGTCAATCTTCAGACACTGGGCATGGAATGCTGCAGGGGGCAGCTCTCACAACACAACAGTGTGCCACCTACAATCAATAGACAAATTTGTAAAAATATTTGCTTACTGTTCAAGTCCTTATTCACCAAAACTTACACTTTCATAGCAGTGTTTCCAAAGTTATGTCCCTCCAAAAGAAAATTGGGAAAAACCTACGGAATAGTTTAAAATTGAATGTTTTTACTTTTTCTATTCATGTATCAAGAAGTCTTATATTGAAACTTGGATTTTTTACTGCCATTTAATATAGACTGGGGCCAAACTATTGGGTTCTGAGCAGATCTAAATAAATCCCAGACCTTTTTCATATACACAAACACGCACACACACACACAAATCATTTTCAGAATCAAACCATAAAAAAATATTTTCCTGAACGTATGACAATTTCCTAATTCCTCAGGGTCCCGATCTACAAACAGTTTGTAACGCTGCAACCTGTCGTAACTCTATAGTTTACCATAGGCTTACAAATGTCGTAGCACTACAAACGTTTCGTGGATCTGGTCCCAGAAGAACAAATATTTTTCAGATGACACTTCACATCAAACATTCACCATAAAGTATTCTGGTCTCAAGAGTGTGAGCGAGTTTTATGCCGCATTCAGCAATATTCCTGCTATATGGCAACGGTCTGTAAATAATTGAGTCTGGACCAGACAATCCAATGAGCATCGATCTACGCAATTGCGATACGATAACATGTGTCAACCAAGTAAGCAAAACTGACCACCCAATCCTGTTAATCGCCTCTTATGACAAGCATGGGTTACTGAAGATCAATTCTAACCTGGATATTTAACAGAAGAACTTACCCTGGCTACATATAAAGCACCAACTGACATTGACATGGCTATGGTGAGCCTGAGATTTCTTGGGTTGGAAATGGTTGCTACACACTATGTTCAGTCCTGCCAAGTTCTTGCTCCCTGCAGCAATACAGAAGTCCCCAACATGGTACGCTGTTGGGCAGCGGACACAGCGATACAAACGACCTGAAAACACACACCAAATAACTCGTTGACATAATTTATATGATAAAATACACTGCTTCTAACAGTGGAGACACCGAAGACAAGGCTAAACCATTCAAGGTAGTACTCTTGATCGACCTGTCACACTCTCATGATGGGACCTGTCATAAAGATGTCTGGTTCCAATAAGTACCTTGGTCAAAATTTCAACCTCTACAATGTTTTTTAATGAACAGAGAGTTCAATAAAGCATAAAAAAATGTAATTTTACTCATGGAGTAAAATTGATAAAGCACCAACTGGCTATGGTGAGCCTGAGATTTCTTGGGTTGGAAATGGTTGCTACACACTATGTTCAGTCCTGCCAAGTTCTTGCTCCCTGCAGCAATACAGAAGTCCCAACATGAGTGCGGCTGTTGGGCAGCGACACTAGCGATACAAACGACCTGAAAACACACACCAAATAACTCGCTTGACATAATTTATATGATAAAATACACTGCTTCTAACAGTGGAGACACCGAAGACAAGGCTAAACCATTCGAGGTAGTACTCTTGATCGACCTGTCACACTCTCATGATGGGACCTGTCATAAAGATGTCTGGTTCCAATAAGTACCTTGGTCAAAATTTCAACCTCTACAATGTTTTTTAATGAACAGAGAGTTCAATAAAGCATAAAAAAAATGTCTGTTTCCGGTTACCTGACGCGACCCTATCCTAAACCCTCTCATAAATAAATGTCTGTTTCGGTTACCTGACGCACCCTATCCTAACCCCCCGACCCTAAACTTTTTTTTAACCAAGTCAAAATCATGACTGGAGTGCATTTCAACCCATCATTTTCATCCAAAATCGAGTAAGATGTTTTCATGGTTTTTTAGTGAATATAGGGCTTAAATGGATTGCACTGAACTGGCACAATAGGCTCTCACTGATGAAACCTGCAAATAAATAGCATGAATAATTATTTGATATAAAAATCTTCAATTTTTCCCCACACAGCATTGTCACTACATGATACCGTACTGTTGAAGACATTTTCAGTCCCACCTGGTGCTACTGAAAAATGAAATGAAAAGTAAAAAGAATAACAAAGATAAAATCGACACACCTACCCTATTTTTGTAAAGCATGTAATAGGAAACGGACATACTCTACCACTCCTATAACACATCAATTAAGAGGACAGGGAAATAAATCTTAAAAACCAGTGTGTTCCCATTCAGTGAGGATAAATGACCATTAAAAATATGAGACAGGGACCATGCCTTAGGCAAATCTGACATGCTGCAAACCAAGTTTGAAAGTCTGTCAACCATTCAATTTTTCAACATTGAATTCCATAATGGTTGTGATTATTTCATACCAACCTTTGGCTGCCTTTGGGTTCTTGTTGTTTTCTGACACACATGTGGCACATGCATGCAAGGGACAGGTGAATTTCTTGCCCTCGACATGGGACTGGGGGTACTTGACAACACACTCCTCATGGTAGAAGCGGCCCGCACTGGGACACCGAGCACCGCCGCACTTCTCCATCAGACTTCTTACAGGAGAAACACACATGGGTGCCTGAAATCATGCACATAAAAAGATGAGGACCAACATCAAACAATGACGAGAGCGAAATCTAACTTTGACATTTTGGCTAAATAATTTCCCTTACAAACAAACCAAATTATTTGTGCTTCTGTTTGTTATCAACGTCTCTCTGGTTAGACACACACATATTCTTTGCTACTGTTACACTGAACTCCTGGGAAAGCCTATTAAAGAACAACCTATATCTCACCACTCAGAGTGCCTTTTGATCACAAAAACGGAAATATGAATCTGAAGGAAAACCTATTTCAGAATTATTGCATGATGTATATTTCATATTCTTTGAATTCCCTTGGTATTTTTTGAAGTTCAAAACTTTCTAAAATTAGAAAATCTGAAACAAAATTTGCACTGCACCTCTCCTTTAGACAAAGGTGGTTCCAAAATTTGAAAATAGGTTTGTTTGTTTTGTTAGTTGTTTAATGCCACAAGCAGCATTGTTCAAGCTATATGGCAGTAACAAAATTAAAATATTCCAACCAATAGTTTTCAAGTTTAAAGTGGACAAACGGACTGATATACTTGTGACCTTTTCAGGTTGGGGCATAAAAATAACGTGAAAGAATAGCTGAGAAATCCATGATACTAGTTCCTCTATCATGGCATGACCGTTGTCATGAATCTGGTATTTTAATTTTAATTCTTAAACTTTATTTTCTTCAGAGTAGAATAACATATCAACAAGAAGTAGTAGTAGTAGTAGCAGCAGCAACAGTAGACATGTACATACCTGACTGGCACTCGTCACACTTGAAATCTCCTGTTGGTTCTTGTCCGAGGCCGAGACAATCCACATGGAAATGACCCTGACAGGGTCCAGTACACTCCACCAGATTGCCCACGTCCTCACAGATCAGACAGATGGGTTCACGCTTGGTATTGTCACTGGCATTTAGCTTGAAGATTTCCAAGTCCAAGTCAGGATCCACATCCTTTGGCATCTTCAGTGTCTTGATGGGCTTCACGTCAACCTGAAATGGTTGTCATCAGTCTTGACTGTACATGTGAAAATAGCAATGGTAAATCAAACTAAAATAACATGCTGGCAAACTATGCAGCAATATTATTAAACAGAAAGTATAATAAATACAAAGAATCAGTTAAAACCAATTCTCAGTTCCAGGTCCTGAAAATGTTAAGTCTAAAATTGTTCAGATCATAAAAGACTTTGAAGCTGGTGTTCAATATGTAAATCAAGGATGGTTGATCTATGCTCTTAACAGGCAAACGACAATTCTTCGTATGAAAATTTTAAATGAAAAACTTTGAAATGTACAAAAGAATGACAGCGAGTCAAACTGCGAAATGTCACGTATTCAGGTCTGGTGATAACACAAACTTTCATTGAAGATCTAGGATTTGAACCCATAACCAAAGGATCCTCACAACAAAGGGGCATAACTCTGCACAAGTCAGAGTACCAGTGAATGATACAGGGGGAACAAAGTTTCACAAAACACCACAAGACTGCATCTGTACCAAGATTCTGTCAAGAACTTTTCTACCAGTGGTCAGGCAGCATGGTCAAGCAACCAAATAGTTCAACACAACAGCCACAACCCTTTCTCCAAGCACGACACTGACAATACCAAGCTTATGTCCATGAACCATACCTGTGTGTCTGACCCCGAATCTGAGCTGTGACCTTGACATTCCACCTTTACACGAGCAGTTCGCTTCCTCTTTCCCTCGGGCACTGGGACAGAAGCAGGGGCTTCCACTTCCATTTTGATGGTCGTCTCCTCGCTTCCATTACTGACCACATCGCTCTTGTGACCTCTCCGTGACTTCGCCGGTTCAACTGGTGGTGGTGGTGGTGGTGGTGGTGGCAGCTACAAACGAAAATGAGAAACATCCAGCTTCATTCTTCTCCTTCAGTTCCATTGAGCGAAACTGGGGTCATATTTATTCACATGCTTGAAGTTACCAACACAACAGACACACAGCTAACCCGATGTGTAGTTGGATAAAAAGGAGTCTGCATGTTCAATTATCAGATTCTGGACATACCAGCAAAATATCAATACTGTGATGTAATTGAATTTGGTTATGTTTGGTGTAAGTATTGGGTACTTCGACACTCATTACAACTGTCCTTTGGTGCATGCTCAATCTACTGTCAAAATTCATTGTTTGTTTTTTGCCATACAAACATGTCAGAACAAAACAGTTGAATTTTGGCGAAGTTTCTAGTCAAACTGCCTTGAAAGACGATTGAATTGTGTGGCCTTTCCCTCTTTATCCTTCCATTACTCCTCCTCGTTATTCCATTGATCCGTGTTCCAGCAGTTTGATCACTGTGCGTATCCAATATGCACAAATAACAAACACTGACGGACATGTTAATTGTTTGGTTTTTATTATGCATAAAAGAATAATATTATTTGTCCTCAATAAAGAACATGTGTATATAATTATATATGTGCAGCAAATACTAGCTAGACTCATTTACTGTGGTATTAAATCTATATGGATTTTCTTGATGAATTGATTCATGTTGTTATATGAATGTTCTTGCATTACGCTCTCAGTTGGTAGTTGATCTACCTTCTACATCAAGTCTGAAAATAAATATAACCTTCTTTTATTATAAAACACTCTGCAGAGGAAAGGAGTGGGTAGCAAGACACCAGGACTATTAGAAGATCAAGAGAAATGTCTTTCACTAAACTACAAAATACTGAGGTGGATGTCCCATCTGATACACTGTAGCAATACCAAGCTTGTTTGTCTGTTGACAGCAATATTCCAGCTACATGAAGACGTACAGTACATAATCAGTAAAGGACAGACTCAGTATTACAGCATCCAACTCTGTTGGGCTACAAGAAGGGGCAATCAACAGAGTCACAAACACTGAACATCAGATCCAGTTAGATGCTTCGATTGATTGAGTGTAGTTTTACGCCATCACGGTGGGGAACACAAGAAATGGGCTTCACACATTGTATCCAGTTGGGGAATTGAACCCAGGTCTTTGGCTTGATGAGCGAACACTTTAACCACTACGCTACCCCACCGCCCCCAGACGCTTTGACCAACAAGCATGGGTTGCTCGGGACCTATTCTCATCCAGAATGCCACTGGGATAGCAATACCTTGTCACAGACACCAGCCATAACACCCCCTACCCGACCGCAAATAATATTAATAATAACAATTAAGGGATCAAATTTTTGTAACAAGTAAATTTGCCACAACTCACTAAGTTATCCCACGCCCGTCACAAAGTAAAAGTTATCCCCTTTCTACAGTTGTGGTTCAACTGATGGATATTCCCTTCCCTTCCTTTACATTAAACATGTTTGGAGAATAAATGCTAATAATAACCGACGTCATTCACAGAAAATAGTTCATTAAATCTAAGGACACTTTGAGGTAATACCTTTCTTATTGATACACTGCCTGAATCGCATGTGCTGCTTATTGAGTGGGTAAGGTAAACGGTTAGAAAGGTTGCCCACAGACACAACAGTGTATTAGAGACACTGGAAAATTCTCCGGAACATTTTTTGAACGTCTTTTATGACCTTGGTATAAAGCAGTATAATACCTGGTGTACAACCTTTGGAAATGAGTGCAAGCAAAACAATTCTTATGTCATTTGTTTACAAAAGACTTTTATCTTTATTTTGTCTTGAAATAAACAATACCTAAGCTAAGTACAAGAAATAAGTTTAGGGTCTTAGGTCGATGGAGAGTTACAATTGAAGCTTTAAGATGTGCAAAAGGCATGTGAGAGTCAAGCATGATATGGAAATTCAAATATGTAACTTAATTCTCAAAAAATTGAATTTTGCTATTAACTGATAGTGTCAGAATGTCTTAGTTCTCGAACAACTTTAAATGATCTGAAATCTTGTAAAACAGTTACAATGTGGGTCTTACCCTTAATATTTCATCTGTTATAAATTTCAAAAGACATGAAACAAACACATATATAAAAATTGATACAAACCCCAGATTCTTCCTTCTTCTCCTCCTCGGGTGCTACATCTGTGACCTCTGACCCAGGAAGGGCCTTGACCTCAGGTTCAGTTTCGCCCTCAGCCTCATCCAAATCCATCTTGATAACTCGCCTCGTCTCCCTCACCGGTCGGCCACTACTCCTTTCTCCTTTCCTCTCCCGAGGCTGCCAGCAAAATCTTGCATTCAAAAGCTTATTTTCATGTAAAGAGTGCTCACGAGTACCAAGACGAAGCCAGAAGATGTAGTTTTAATCACCACGAACAAGCACTCAAATAGAAATTATTAGTAAAGCAATCAGCAAGAAAGAGGTACATAATTTGTAACCTATTTTCATCTCTTTCTGAACAGAATTCTGTAATCATTGCAACAAATGACTATTCCAGTTTTATTTTCCCAGGTTCTAGAGAAGAAATTATTACAATGTTGATCCAAATTCTATCAAGATATTGCTCTAATGGTTTTCAAATAGAAAATTTCATGATAATCTTTCTCTCACCATACCTCAATTATTAGTAACTGCAAGCATAGCAATACAGACTGCCAATATACACCAATCTGGCAAAAAGGCTCATTCTGTCCCAGCCAGCTATTGGGGAGAAGCAATGGGGCGGTCATGACGATGACCCCCACACATGCCCGCAAGCAGGGTGAAGGTCACAGACCATGCAACTCTCGGGGTAGCTGACTGAGGTATATTTCTCTAACACGCCAATGACTCAAGCACTCCCGATGGCACAACCTATAAAGTTGATGGACAAGCAACTACACACGAGCCTGCAGCTGCAAAGTCCCGAGAGTGGATCTAAGGAGCGTGTAAGAATCGATCGGAGGAAAACAGGGCACTCATGCAGAAAAAGTTAACAGAGGTGCAGGATTTCATTTCTGTTATCAAAGTTACTGCATGGAAACAATTTTGAAATGCTGAAGTGGCAATAGCTGGCTAGAAGATCAGAATGAGGCAACGCGAGTACAACATATAATTCAGAGGGATAAGATCAGCTTTACAACCAAGGAATTGAAATTTCATTCAAACAGATATAATGAAAAGAATCGTGATGTTATCACCAGACCATAGCATCATGACCAGAGAACAAAACAGCCTACCTGGTTTTCCAGTGTGTAACATCTCTATTCTATTACGATAACTATACCATTCTCCACACAGCTTTGTTTCGAATTTGGTCCAAATCACATTAACTATCAAAAAGAATTATCACTATCTTTCACAAAATTGGAAATAAAGCTCAGTAGTACCAACTATTCTTGTTGAGTACTATCTCCAATACAACTAGGAATAGCTGACTGCTTGAGGACCCATTTAAATGAGCAAATAATTCAAGGTAAATAAATACTAATTACTAGTCTTCCAATTAAAATGATGGTGTCAGAGATAGAAACAAATACTTTCAATCCACTTGCCCTTGTAATAGTAACATATCAAAACTCAATAAAAATGGCCAATTTCTACTGGTCCTTAAGACACTTGAACAATTAAGGTACTTTGACTATAAGCTAGTGTAAATTTCTATCAGTGTTTGCATGTGCGCAGCATATATTGAACTTTGAGTGAGTATGGTTTTACACAGCTTTTAACAATATTCCAGCAATATCACGATGGTCAACATCAGAAATGGGCTTCACATGTTGTACCCATGTAGGGAATCAAACCTGGGTCTTCAGCATGGTGAGCGAACTTTTTAACCACTAGGCTACCCCACCGCCCATATATTGAAACAAGTTACTTTGACTGGTTCTTGACTTTTAAACTTTAAGAAGAAAGAAAAAATTGGGTGAGATGTTAACAAGAGATGAAAAAGGTGATGTCACAACAAAAGCTTTAGTGAAAAACGGTATTGGGTTTTCATCATAATAGAACAGAGATTTAACACACTGGATAATCAAAGTTGACAAAATACCTGCAGCCATAACTTCTGCCACTGGTCCGAAGTTGAGTCTAATAATTTTTTTAGCAAGCTCGCCTAATAATAATGCATATTATAATACGAAACTCTACCAAAACAACGCCAAGAGATAAGTTCGGACTTGTAGGCAGGAAGGTTTTGGCATACAGTGTAGCTGCTTATTGACAATTCAGATGCTAGCTGTGTTCATCAGTTAAATTAATTTGGGATGTCGGCCATCCAGTTAGCAAACATTTATTCATTATTAACAGGCTTCACCAAACTAAATTTAACAGAAGCTTGGCTTGTAGTATTTTCACAATATTTACATGAATACCAGCGGACTTACTGAAGTATACACACACAATTATATAAGATTAATCATGTTAGTTTTTTGCTTGTAGTGTTTTCACAATATTTACTTCTATACCAGCGGACTTAATGAAGTACACACATACATAAGACTAATCATATTTTTGGGATGACTCTTAACTTCATAATTCATATTAAGACAGTGACAATAGATTCTGAAATATGCAATGGACAATCTCTACATGTAACCAGTTTGGCTTGTGCCATTTTGAAATAAATTTTCTTCTTTAATCACAATATACAAGCAATTCTTCAAATGTTATCCACTCAACCTTCAATGATATGACCTTTACAAGCGTCTTGGTGACAAACTATTTTAGTTATTATACTATTAGGTGCAAAATAACTTTGGGACAAGTTCCCATTTATAATCATGATTATTCATCTTTTAAGCCTTATGATAATTCTTATCATGAAAAAAGGACAATGGATTCTAATATATGTCTCGGCCATCTTCAAACCAAACCAAAGACACTTGCTCCATTTAAAATTGATTTTCTCCTCAGTTCAGGACGCAATTATTCTACACTTAACCTTTACACATGTAATCATTACAAACACATCAGTAAGCAAACTACAGAGTGCACCCTATTTGTCAGGCTTGGGAAGTCAATATAAGAATTACAACTGTATTTTTAAAAGAAAATGGGAAGTGTTCAACTTAGTACATCACAAAATACTAGCTTGATTCAACACATTATCCATTACAATCATTGCATTTTTATCCAAAATAGGTCAGATGTAACATCAATTTGCTGCAATACATTACATTATTACACTAGTATATGTATGTACATATCTGCCGTAACAGAACGGTCACTGGTTATCCGAGGCAAATGTTTCTAGTTACGATTGGCCTTTACTCTTTACAAAATATTTTCCAAATAATCTACTTTAAAGATAAATCAGATCACTTGAACAAACAATTCTGGATTAAGTTGCTGCAAATGGTTTCATCAAAATATCTCAAACTGAAGCAGGTTATTCACAGATAAGCATCCTTCCATTCAAACATGTCATGTCCTTAAAGGTCTAATGAAGAGTCCTATCAGCCGGCGTTTACCCCTACCTTCAAAGCAACCAATCTTATCCCCTGAAATACACTGTGAACCTGCACTTACACTCTTTTTCTGTTTCTTAGCCACTATCTCACAAAAGAGTTTATTGCCCTCTTCCGCTTCTAGCTTCTTGACCGAGGGTCTACTTACTCGTGGAGATCTCTTCGCACTGTTGCCTGAAAGGAACATAAGGAAATAGTTGAGCAAAATGTCACGTTTTGACAAATTTTCAATAAATAAAGTAGTCCAAATATTAAAGCCTCCAATATCTGTTATTCAATTAAACTTATTTTATCAGAGTTGTTTGTTGTTTAACACTGCGCTCAGCAATATTCCAGCTATATGGCGGTGGGCTGTAAATTATTAGGTCTATCAGTGATTGACATCATCAGCATGTCAATGAAAGTCAGCATGCTTGACCACCACCCAATCACGTTTGTCGCCTCCTACGACCAGATCTTTACAGGTCTCTACCCCAAGGCTGTAAATATATAGTGGTGTGGATGTGACCCTCTGTCATCACTATTCAGGTTAACGTAAATACCAGGTTCATTTTTACCACAGTATGGTATTCAATTTCTAATTAAATACAACATTATGTATTTTCTTGAATATTGTGAACACACAAACATAAACACCCCTTAACCGGATACAGTGTTTTGGAAAAACAGCCTTTTAGAGTAGTATATGCAGAAATTACCAAAATTACAAATATCACTGTTCCCTTTTCACATATTTGGATGACAAACAGGTGAAATTTATTGATGAAAATTGAGATTTGAAATAAAACATCACTGGACATAATATAAATTGCATTTCCTGTTTTGCTTGGCACAGTTTCATATGCAGATTAAGACAGTGTATTTTCTCACAATATAGGCCGAAATAGCAATGAACTGTTCGAAGAATCACATAAATCTAATAAATATTCCTTCTAATTTTACCCACTTACTAAGCCACTAATTTTCTAATATGTGACATTTTTTGTTGCAGCTTCTGCAATATGTACTTAGGCCAGACCAATTTTATTTCTTGTTTGACAGATCCGCCTGTCGTATTTTTTCAAGAATAAAGTTTCCCCCTCAATAGATAAAATCCTAATGTTTTTGGGCCAAAAAGGTAAACTTACAAGAAATTTCACTTCATAAATTGCCAAAAGTAAAATGATTTAACTATTTAGAAGGAATATTACTTTAACTGGTGATTTTATCTTTATTTTTTTCCCCCTTCCTGCCTCTAGGTTACTAAGGACAAAAATCTGTAAAACTTGAAATAAAATTGGTCTGGCCTTAGTAATAAAAAAATACCCGTGAGCGTTGCACTTTACTACAGATGATCCCTACTGTGTCGTATTTCATACATACGGAAATATTTCATCAGTCACCTTCAAGGCTCCCATGCTCACGATCACAATTACATTGTCAACTACATGTAGTAGTCCAACTTACACAAATATGACTTTTAATGAGTTACATTATGACATTAAGACATGTATACACTCTGTCAATTAAGTTTCCTCCAAGTCAGTTTTAGTTGAAAACTGACTGGCTGCTGTAAATAACAAAGTTGATGTGATCTGCTAATCACTTCACTCTTGTCAAATTCAGTGTAAACACTGACTAAGCAATATTTCAATATTAATCAAATAGATTACTTAGCCCAGATATACAATGAACACTTCCTACAATCAGACAGTGTAATTACAAGATTATAGAACAATTTTTTTGACATGGTATTTCCAGGGTTTCATATTCTTGGTAATGTCATCATGTTGGGTAAAAATAATGTTAATGGCATGCATTCTGCCAAAACCAATAAATACGACTGTGAACTTGAAATAGTGTGCACAACACTCAAGATAAATGCTAGAATGAAGAACAGACAAGTTTGAAAAGATTCACTGAAGCACGTAAAAATTGTTCTACTGGACTTTCTACAATCTGTTGTGGTATATATTGTTTCGAGTGCATCATTCAGTTTAATCAAGCATTGTGGTTGCCTCAACGTACCATGAGGATATACATAAAAAGTGATTTGGGAAAAAATTGTATTTTGTATCATTAGGCCAGACCAATTTTATTTCTTGCTTTACGGATCAACCTGTCGATTTTTTTCAAGAATAAGAAAAAAAATAAAAATTGATTTTCCCCGCTCAAAAAATCCTAATGTATTCATTGGCCAAAAATGTAAACATACAATAAATTGTGTTTTTAGATTGTTTTTATGCCCCATATACACTTCATAAATTGCCAAAAGTAACACACATTGAGTATTTACAAGGAATATTACTTTGACTGGTGAATTAATTTTTATTTTTTTTCCCTCCTGCCTTTAGGTTATCTGAGGACAAAAATCTGTAAAACAAGAAATAAAATTGGTTTGGCCTTAATATCAAAATAATATCCTGTGTTGGACGCAGTATTTCAGTGAGTTCAGTGTTATGTTTCATGCCTAGATATGCATTACATTTCAGCCTCAGCCATGCATTACGTTTCAGTTCTAACCATGCATATATCCACCAACCTGGTGTGGGTTTTTCTTCAGTGTCGGCCCCAGTGTATTTGGATGTGTATCTCGCCTTCTGCTCCTTTGTCATCATACTCCACTGCTGATGGAGATACTCCACTACCTGCTCATCATCATAGTCAGGATGATCGTCCAGCACGCCATCCCGGTGCTTGTGACAGAAGCTTTCAAATGAACCCTCGTACTTGGTCACCTTGTGTGGTACAGTTGGGCTCTTCGTGGTTTCCACATCGGAAACTTTTCGCTTCTTTGAAGTGGGACTAGCTTGTTCTGGGTTTTCTTCTTCCTCTTCGGGCTGTTTTCTCTTCCGACCTCGCTTCTGTTTCAGTGCTTTCTCGTCTTTCTTCGAGTCAGGTGTTTTAGGCGTTTTAGATGTTTTGGGAGTTTTGGGTCCCTTGCCAGCTGGGATTTCATACACAAACGTAAACTGTTGCTTGCGTTCATTTCTATCCAAATTGTATGCCTCTTCTGCAGCAGCCACGCCCACTTCCCATGCAGGGCGACGTGATGTATTCACCTTGTACATCTGCATGAACTTGCCTTTCATGGTTTTGGGTGCATTTTCAATTAAATTTTCTGCACGTTTGAAGAAACGTTCTTTCCCTTCAAAGGGAATGGCAGATGATTCATTGATCCAGCCTCTCTCTGCTTCATCACCAAAGAATTGCACATGATATGATCGCAATGCTTTCTGTTTCACAGTTACTGCAAGAAATGGAGGATTATTTTCATAAGTATGCAAAGGAACTACTCACAAATGTTAATCCAACAACATCAAAATATAATGTTTTGTCACAAATCCTTCTGACTGAGACATGAACTGGCAAAGACTTGAGACGGGGTTTTACATGGTACGCACAAATTTAAAGAATGGAAGCAGACAAATTCACGGCATCTAAATGTATGAACAATATTATTCATTGTACCCACAAAACACCTATGACTTTGCTGAGTGTTTGGTTCTTTCTTTCAGAGCAGTTACTTGAATCATTTCAACCATCAGTCCACATGATCAATGTTTCATTCCAGGCTCTAAAGAAATTATCAAAATGTACAGTTCTCTACACCATTACTTCACAGGACCTTCATATTGCCTGCTACCAAGACAAGTTGAATTGAACTCCCATACATCCTCATCATATACTAACTATAAGGCCTACTCGATATCTTGCTAGTAAATGACTTCAGGTAAGTTGATGCAATAGTGACTTTAGCAACATGTCTAAAGCCTGGGTCTTACATACATAACAGATTTGTCCAGACCAGCTTTGAGACAGATACTCTCCCACTTGTAATCAAATGACAACAGAAATAACAAATTTTAACTGAATGTGTTCCCATGACTCATAAACAAGAATATAAAAAAACAACAACAAATTCACAACAAAAAATCCTGCCCAGGGCAATGGGAATCCAAGATAAATCCTTGCACACCCACCTCTTTGAAAGTTGGGCCAAAAGAAAACTGGCTTGCAGAATGTACCTAAAAACAATTACAGAAGACAAAAACAATATTCCAAATTTGAAAAACCACTGAGGAAATACCATGAACACTTACCTCTGACTCTTGTAAAGATGCTGATGAAGGGGTCATACGAGACCATGCAAGGCCAGAAGGGGTGACCACTGACCTTGGCCCACAACAGGTCACCGACAAGATACTTTGAAGGACATCCTGATGCATCCTCTGCTGGTGCAGGTTGTTTAGGTGTGACTGCGGTCTCGGCTTTGGGAGGTTTTTGAGGTTTTTCGCTGGCGAACAACTCATCCTTAGGGACTTTCTTCTTGATTTGCCTTTTCTCACGACTCACAACTGCCGTTTCTTGGGCAGCAAGCTCGTAAGACTGACGCGACTTCTTTGGAGGTTGTCGAATAACTTCTTTTGGCTTTTCTTCAGGCTTTTCAGCTGCTTCAGCTGGAACATCGGCTGGCTTGTCTTGAGGGTTAGCTGCTGATTCTGATTTGTCCTCTTTTGCCTCTTCAGACACTTGGACAATATTGACAGTCTGGGCATCTTCCTTCTCGGGAGAATTCACTGGGTTCTTGACGCTGGCCTTGCTTTGGGCTATTTTGGGATTCTTGTTGACAGTTGGGATTTGAGGGAGATGATGATGAAAACCAGCACCAGCCCCAGACTGAGGAGCGATGCCATTAACAGATGGCTTTGCCTCAACTGACATGGTGATAGGAGAAACGGACTTCCAACGTCAACAGCGGATCTGAAAGCAATTTTCAGAATAGAGTATATGTCAGGTAGGATAGACATTTCAACAATCTTATGCAAAGAGGGCACAATGAAATTTTGTTTTTGATCTAAGCTTGAAGACTGCTTTTGTCTTGACTTCACAATAAGAATACCACAATATTTACTTTCAATTGTGAAAACAGACCCTTCAGCATAGATGCAATAAGATTCTATGTCATAGCTGTCAACTGTCCCCCATTATACTTAGGATTTTGATACAATCTTTTAGTCAAGATAAAAGTGCTACAAAACAGTTTAAAGAATATTACGGCCATGTAACTCTTAAACCTGTTTCATAATTTTAACACTTACTTCCACTAAAGCAACTCAAAGAAGGACCTCTGCCATCACAACAGTTGATGAGTGAGTTTAGTTTTATGCCGCTTTTAGCAATATTCCAGCAATTTCATGGTAGGGGACACCAGAAATGGGCTTCACACATTGTGCCCATGTGGGGATCGAACCTGTGTCTTCGGTGTGACGAACGAACGCCTTAACCACTAGGCTACCAAACGCCCCCAACAACAGTTTATCAATCTGGGTGGGGCTAAAACACTCTTGATTTCAAATTCAAAGAAATATTAGAAGCAGAATATTTTCACACTCCCCTTTGTCTTCATGCCAGGCATTTCCTTTAGTCATCTCAATGTCATGGAAACTACTGGGTAGGTGACGGAATAGAAAAGTGATTGTTGAAAACAAGTCACTGACCAAAACCACCAAAGTCAGCAATTATAAATGTCTGCTCAAGTTTACAGAAGCTTTGCCATACAATCCCTAGAACTGATGCCAATCTGCTAGCAGTCTGCTCAGTGTTGTTAAACAACAAACAAGACATTCCACAGCAACATACCAAAATTCATTCCCTTAGATGGATTTTCAAATAGTGAAAGTAGACATTATGAGGAGTTCTTCAACATGGTAAGGGATTAAGTATTCAAATTAGGGCTGGAACGATGCATCGAACTATCGATGGATTGCAGTTGCTGAGTCGCCGATAGAAATTAATCGATGGTAGAAACGAAACACTATCGATGCATCGATAGTATGTGCGACTATTGATAGTTTAGTAATTGACTTCCATTGATAAATGTGCAACGCAAAATACAGGATGTTTGGGAGCAGATTTTGCAGTTTCAATGAGTTTATGTTTTAACTGTTTACTTGATCTGGGTTTCAGGTTTCAAGTAATTAAAAGATACTGAAACTACTTCAACTTGTTTTATGTCATATAAACTATACATTCATTTGGGAAATGACTTCAAATGAGACAATTCAAGGGAGAAAAAACTTAGTATTGCAATAGTTGGTTGCAATAGACTATCACTATCGCAATAGTTGTTTCCCCTTCAATAGTCAACCCTAATTCAAATGTAAAGAAAGAATTTGGTATAAGCAAACCAAGACAAATTATCAATAAGTCTTTACATATGGAACTTTTAACACCTTAAACAAGCAAACAAGTGAACTTCGTGTGTGAAAAGAATTTACAGATTCAATTTCAGTTGTATGGTTAGAGGGTAGTTGCACTGTAAACAACAAAAGATCATCATGTACATCATGAGGCCCACCTACATTAGATGGTTATTTCTAAGAATAGTATGTTATTAAAATAAGAATATCCAGAAATGTCTCTTAAAAAGGAAAAATATTTCAAACTGATAACACAAAATCACAATGTATTGCACATTCATAAATAATTCTCATGAAATCCCATTTCCCTCACTTCATGTATCAGTTTGTTTACACATCAGAATGGAGCACAACGTTATGACAATACTGACAGAAGAGCTGGACAAACTTGAAAATCATACTCCTATGTCATGAATAATAATTGTTTTTGATAACTTTGTTTTCTGACAGATATTAAACCAACATAAAAATTTGCATGAATATCCTTTCAGGGGATGCAGAGAAAGTTCAGCACAATGAACATTTGCTTATGATCAATTGAAACAGACTACTGGAAAGATTCACTACACACACATCAGTTTCATTAGTGCCTTCTAAACACGTCTATACTCTGTGTACACACCAACAGGCTACGAAAGCATTTCCAATGTTATTAATCCTGTGAAATTAATCCAGCAGTATAGCCTTCGGTGAATCTTTAATCCTGCAAAGTGGGACCAAACTGGAAATAATAGTTTTGAAAATGCATCTTATTTCGCACCAGTGAGCTGTTTGAAAGGTTATATGACACCCAAATTAGATAAGTACTTTATGTGGCCCAACCGGGCGAGAAAATGAGGAGTCCTCTTTCAGAACATTGTCACTTGCATGCTAATTTCACGCCAGCGTTAGTAAATTTCATGGATTGGGAAGAAAATTTCGTCCCAAAACATTCAAAAAATGTAATCAGTAACGTGTACATAACAGTTGTTATAAATGTTAAACACTCGATAAACAAAAAATGCACAATTTAACCATCATGACATAAGCATCGAGCCAAAAACGCCTCTGATCTGTCCCGATGACCCCCTTACGGAATGTGTTTCTTTACGAGGAAGCCATTTTGTGTCGACAACACGCGGCAAGGTTAGGTCACCACACCAAACAATAGCGCCGTGCACAAATCGACATTAACAATACGTCATACTAGCTAAGTATAAGACTATAGATGTAAATACATGCATAACAGACATTTCGTTCCATTACCAAATCATTACTAGCTGCATAGTTTGATTTTCAAAGCACGATCCAACGCTCTTCCAACACTCTTCGGCCAGTTACGGCGGGAAAGTACGCGATTGTTGATTGGCTGACAATGTTACGGATACCCCCGAGTCGCCCGAAAGCGGTGAAAATGGCGCGTGATGTTTGCATAGCAGCCTGAATTTTCTCTTTTCAACCCAATATGAAATTATACTGGCTTTAAATGAACGCACATTGCACTTGTGTTTTCTTCATTTTTATATCATACCCAATATCAGACACTCAAACACTCGATTAAAGGCTGCTTCTTCAATATATCCCACATTTTCTATCAATGTTCATATCAGAAAATCCTCTTTCTATCCATTTACGTCACAGACTGTTTATTTTACATACAATTGCACAGAAATAGCAATTGTGCAATGTTTGGTTTTATTTATTTGGGAAATATCAGAATCTATTCTTTTATTTATTATGATATTATAAATAGTTCTACAATCGTATTTTATGCAAATTAAAGAAGACTTGTTTATGCATTATTTGCATAGGTGTACATGTATTGATATATCAAAGAACCATGTAGGAAAATGCCTTGTAGTGTGCTTTCTTGTTGACTGACGTGAAGAACGATTCTATATCTGCATAATCTTTGTGCATTTTATATACAAAATTATTAAATATAATATCTGAATAGAATTTACCAATACTATCAGCTCAAACAAAGTATACATGTATTACTTCTCAGACCTTCATTTATACAGACCTTTGAATCATCCCAAGGCAATAGGTTACTGAAATAGTGTACATATTTATTCATTGATACAAACTTATAAAATTCAAATGACCTTTTGGACATACAATTGTTACATGTTGAAATTAAAATTATGTTTCATTTATTTGATTAATAATGAATTTGCACCAAATAAGAAAGTAAGATTGTTTATGGATAACAGACAGATCAATCAAACAGATCTTGCACCAAATAGTTTCTTATTCTACATTAGACTTAGTGTAATATGTAAATGACGGAGTATCTGGCAAAACATGAAAATATGTTTAACACATAGTTACCAGACATCTCAATTGGTGGGATTTCAGGATCTCATGAATTTGAAAAATACAATGTATCAGCATTTAGGAACCATTCATAATTTATGTTTTTTTGTTTGTTTTGTGTGTTTGTTTGTTTGTGTGTATTTGTTTGTTTGTTTTTGTGTGTGTTTGTTTGTTTGTTTGTGTGTGTGTTTGTGTGTGTTTGTGTGTGTGTTTGTGTGTGCACGCGTGTGTGATTTTAAGGGAGGGTCACCCATTTTGTTCTGGGGAGCTAGGGGGGATGAGCAATTTTGTACACACCTACTTGGGGGATGGGTGGGGGTCAGGGGTCAGCATTTTTGTACAAAAAAATATGTTTAAAATTATGCTTAGAAATTATGGGAAGGGGAGGGGGGTAATTGATTTTGTACATGAGGGGGATTCACATTGTACATGCTTCTCCATTAAAATCATCATCACCCCCCTTGTCATAAGTTATGAATGGTCCCTTACATATGATAGTGAGAGTAAGTTATAGTAAGGGACCATTCATAATATATGGCAAGAGGGTGATGTTGATTTTAAGGGGTGGTCACCCATTTTGTTCTTGGGGGTGGGGGGTTAAGCAATTTTGTACATAAGAATATTAAAAAATTATGCTTAAAAATTATTGGAAATGGGGAGGAGGGGGTGTCATTGATTTTGTACATGACATGCAGGGGTGGGTGGGGGTAACACACTTTGTACATATATTTTAGGTGGGGTATGGTAAATGCTTTGGTCTCCATAAAAATCATCATCACTTCCCCCTCTAGCCATATTGAAAGGTCCTTAATGGGCCATAAAAATGACACGGTCATATAGATTAATTGAACTCATCGAAGATTGGTCGCAATGACTAAAAGCAATCGATGATGTTTTCTCATAATCAACATCAAACAATTTTGGAACACTTGTTTGCATTAACAATATTTTTCACAAGGTTGGTTTTGTCTGTTACATTCATACCCACTACAAGCTTGTTCCAAGTCATGATTGAAGTTATCTTAAAGACTCCAGGAACTTTATCTTCCTAGCATACTAGTCACCCTTTAAAGATGTGAAATTTGCAAATGCATTTTGTGCAATTTGAAAAAAAAACACACGAAAGAATTACATGTGTTTTCTTTCTTTTATTTATTTATATTTTTTGCTGCATTAACATACAACCAGGAAGATTTCATAAATGACGCTAACCAATTTTCTTTGATGATTGATTAGTTATAATGAACCAATCATCAATTATGAGATTTTAACCAATTCCCAACACTACTGTCATATCCATTTTCTATTTGAAACAAAATTATCAATTTGAATATTATTTAGGGCCCACTTATCTATTATAGGCGAAGGTTATTAAAATATGCTACTTAAAATGAATGGAGTATGGGGGGTGGCAAAATATCATATAGTCAAAATCTATGGCAAATCTAAAAGTCAATTCAAAGGCTTACCCCCAAAATAACAAACATGACATGAAAACCATTATTGATTTTGAACTACCAAATCAGCATGTTATTATGGTAGGCTATGGGCATAGAAATTGTCATCAGATTAGGAAAAGCTGGGGGTGGGGTGTGTGACTCCTCCCTTCCCTTTCCCCAAGAAATACTTTTTTGGGGTCAAATACTCACAGAACCATGATTACAGACATGATTTACTGAAAGATTTTCCTTGAATAAAACAGGTGTAAGATTATTGCATGTGTGATAGTCTGTCTCACAGATCCTTAAGGCTTAACTGCATTATTCTCCCTTCTGCCCACACTTTCTGCAGTGCTAAAGCCCTAAATGAAGCAAGTCTAGATTTCCTCAGGTGCAGGTTCTTAATCTCCCATCTCACTAGGGCTCCTTTTCAATTTCTGTCAAAATATTATATATTCAGAGACTAAGCATTAACCAATGGTAGGCTATGTGCATACAAACTGGCAGCAGATTAGGAAAAGCTGGGGTGAGGGGTGGGTCCATCCCCTTTCCTTTCCCTAATAAATCTTGTCAAAAACCTTTTCAAGTCAGAACCACAATTAAAGGTATGATTTTCTAAAGGTTTTCCTTGAATAAAACAGTGTAAGATTACTGCATGTATGACTGTTGTATGTGAAATGGTATCTTTTGTAGGGCTGCGCAATATAACCGGTTTACCGGTATTTACCGGTTCAGACATGAAAACGATACGTATTGCGATACGCTGATCGAAAACCGGTATTTTGACTTGCATTCGGAAAACTTCGTAACACTCGGAAATGTTCGGATATGTCCTTGTTTCATTTGTGCCAAATATTATTCACATTTTTATTTTATCATGATTAAAAGTTGTTATTAAAGCTTAATCAAGCCTAGTGATTTTGTTGTGTTTTTGCTCTATAAATCAAGAAGTAACTCGATTATAAGTAGTCTTTTGTTCAAAAATACTTCATGCAATATATTGCAATACATATCGCAATATATGCTTTCGCATCGCAATATATCGCAATATGAAAATTCTCTGCAATACCCACCCCTAATCTTTTGTCCCATAGGTGAATTCCTAGTGAATTTATAACTTTAAAGGGGAACTACTCCATTGTTATGCTGATAAGTTTCAGTTTCACTCTGGTCATAGTCCGTCTCACTGTTAGTGAACTGCTATATTTTCCCATCCGCCAGCCCGTTCTGCAAATGTATTATAACTTAACAAGTCAGAGAGAGTGATATATCTACAAAATAACCTCATGAAAATTCATAAGCCAGTCAGGCCAGTGACTGTGGAGATTTACTGATCCAACTGGATTTTTACTAGCCATGGGCTAACGGGCCAGCAGCTATTTCGCACACTGCTTGGACCAATGCATTTGTTAATCACAATGTATTTGTTTTGGAAGCTACCACCTCCATTGTTCAGGGTGGTTGGGTAGCCTAATGGTTAAAGTACTCCCCCAGGTTTGTTTACCCATGGGTAAAAGGTGTGAAGTCCATTTCTGGTGTTCCACACCATGATGTAACTGAGATATTGAGAAAAGTGGCATAAAATCATACAGAATTAACTGAAAGTCCTTTGATTGCATGGCTAAATTCAGATGAAGCTGGTAGTAAATGGGTCTGAGTGTTTATCACTTTAATTTGCCCAACTGATGTGATGTGTGCCTTTAAAAGGTATACCACTAATAATCACAATTGACTGTTGGTGTATATCATGCACATGCAGTTCAGCATTATCATGATTTTCATGATATCCCACCCACAACACCGTAAAGGATATCTTCAGCATCACCTATGCAATGTTTGTGACTTGTTGTCACAATCAAAACACTTTTATAAAAAATATTTATGTAGTTATGAATACACAATGCCATTTAGAAAGTGGTCAAATGTAACATATGTTATATTTGGGATTACACGTTCTCAGTAAAGTACAGATTCTAGTACTTTTGTTGGGTTGAGTCCCATCTGGGATTCGAACCCACATCCTCAGAGTCAGGCACCTAATCGCCAGCACCACCGGTGGCTGAGTGGGTTAGGCGGCTGACTTTGTGTGCTGGCGATTAGGTGCCTGACTCTGAGGATGTGGGTTCGAATCCCGGATGGGACTCAACCCAACAAAAGTAATGGAATCTGTACTTTAGGTCAGACCAATTTTATTTCTTGTTTTACAGATTTTTGTCCTCAGAAAACCTAAAGGCAGGAGGGGAAAAAAATAAAAATAAAATCACCAGTCAAAGTAATATTCCTTCTAAATACTAAAAGTATTTACTTTTGGCAATTTATGAAGTGTATATGGGGCAAAAAGCAATCTCAACAAAAATTTCTTGTAAGTTTACATTTTTGACCAATAAAAACATTAGGATTTTATTTTTAAGCGGGGAAAATTGATTTTGATTTTTTTTCTTATTCTTGAAAAAATACAACAGGCGGATCCGTAAAACAAGAAATAAAATTGGTCTGGATTGACTGAGAAAATGTAATCCCAAATATTACATATGTTACATTTATGTAGTTCTTTTTAAAACAACCCCAAAGCACCAGATGTGTACTTGTACT